GGTAGATTCTTTGCGTGGTGCTGCACGCGCATGCGCAATATCGATAATTAGTTGCTTGAGTGGGATCATGGGATGTGGCAGGGTAGGATAGGTAGGAGGTAGAAACAGGAGTTTTGCCACGTTCAGTGTCAAGCACGCCAAAGGTATGAGTGAATGGATGAGTTTTGTATAATAACGTTGATAATAGTGTTTTTCGAACATTTGGCAACTTGTCGAAGTCAAGACATCTGATATTGGTATGTTATATATGTAATGCATTTTTGTTTTACCAATCGTACAGATATAACATTTTTCGAGAAAAAATTAACTGAAAACGTTTCTTTATTTGTTAGTGAAAATATGAAACATGTTAGTGAAATAATTTCATGGACTCAAATTGTTAATAATTTACACAAGTTTATGGAATTTACATAAATTATACAGAAATTGTATCTTTCGATTAAACATTTCAAATATTAAAATGTGCTCTAAATAGCATAAATATATAGTAATTTATACAATCACTCTAATTTTGAAAAAACAATTTTTAACTTTTGCTGTAAGAAGATAATGAGTTATGTTTGGTTGAGGCTATCTTTCTTGCATACCAACTTCCGTTGTGTTCTTCCACTTCTCCCTTTCCTACTCTTGATTACGCTGTTGCCAAATGTCATAAAATGAAACAGATGTGAAAGTTCAGTGTAACTTTAAGATTTAATTCCGCGATGTATATATTGTATATTTCTCTTTTTCTTGTTTACGTATTGTTAAAATATTTTCCTTACTTTAGAGACGGAATATAAAAGTTAATTAATCGATTAATTACCTTTTTCTGATTTTAATTATATCAAGTTTTATTAATCTTTCATGAGAGAGATATGAACATTAAAAAATATATACTGTTTGAAAAAGTTTGTTTTAAAGTTAGATACGTTGTTAATAACTGTATCATTTTTTATTATGTGTATATGTATTTTATATCGTATAAACGTGTTTCAGTCATTGTAAAATTTTTCGACATCGGCATTGGTACTACGTTTCTTTTAAACGGGAACATTAGAAAAGTATGCGTTTTGAAAAAAAGAGAAAAAAGTCTATTACAGATTTCTAGTATACAATTTAATAAACCGGTTTAGTGATCTGTATAAACTACAATTTTTCCTAATAGTATCACAACATTATTATTAGATTAAAAGTCAAAACCTTATAACGTCATTTGTGGAAGGTTCTTAATTTTCTTTAACTAAGATTTAATAAATGATCTTCGTACGTATTAAAGTATATTATATATATATATATAGTATTTATTACATATTTTCAGTTTTATATAAAAACTTTAAAATGGAAAGTAGCATGAAGTGTTTAGGTGTTTTTAGTTGATCAATAAATTTAGTAAGATTTTGTAACATTAAATTATAGTATTAAATAATGTAAAATGTTAGTTGCTACGCCCTTGTCGATGCATTTCATTCTCATGAGCATACAGTGGTGTAATGCAACAAGAGAAGTTGAAATACGGGCCATACAAGCGGCAACGTTGCACAGGGCGGTGAACAGAGCATGAGCCTGTGTAAACTCTAAGAATCGAGAAGGAGAGAGAGAGAGAGTTCTCGGAAGTTTTCGTTTGTGTGCGATACGTAGGCTGCGTCATTTCAACGTTATGTACTGAGAAAAGTCCATGATACTCCGTCATTCACGAATCATAACGGCATTGTAATCATCTAACAAGTTTAGAGTTCTTTCCCCTTCCCTCTTTCTTATCAAATGCGGGTGGTATGTCCCATAAATGTATTATACGATCGTACATACAACGCAGTATATATTTAAATATGCATATTCCATATGTTGCACAATTTTATTATATATAATTGCAAGTTAACTTTACTTATTTTTATTAATAAAATGAAATTGATGCTATGAAAGATATTTAGAGTAGAAAAAATAATTGCAGGTCAATAATATTTTAACAAAAGTTTATTTACAATTAATATTTTATATAATAAATGCAATTTTTTTAATAGGTTTGAAGACATTTTTAACAATAATTCAAATAAAATGATTAGTATAATCAAACACAGAGACTTAGGAAATGATACAAACTTAAAATCTTCAGGAAATGTACATTTAACACCATCAGTTTCTGTAACACCTGATATATGTCATGATGAAGCAGATAATATTGATTACCATTTTGAAGCAGCAAGACTTCAGAGCTTTGAAAATTGGCCTATAACATACATTGAACCTGAAAAGCTTGCAGCTGCAGGATTCTATTATACGGGTGAAAGTGACAGAGTAAAATGTTTTGAATGTGAAGTTGAGATATGTAAATGGGTAGAAGGTGATATACCCATGGTCGATCATCAGAGATGGTCTGCAAGGTGTAGATTTATTCGTAAACTGAACTGTGGTAATATACCCATTGGAGTAGATCCTGGTACGGTGATACCACCAAGACCAAGAAGTAGAGATGTATGTAGTCCTTATGGTTTAGAATATCGACCTACATCTGGTCCAGATGACCATAATTTTTCAATGGAATTACAACTAGCAAGCACAGCTAAACTGGGCTGTTTAGGTCTGGGAAGAACTAAGGGACCAGTACATCCAGAATATGCTAGTTATGATGCTAGGTTACACACATTTGTAACATGGCCTAAATCTATGCCACAAACAAAAGAACAATTAGCCGATGCAGGCTTTTTTTATACTGGGAAAGGTGACCAAACCTTGTGTTACCACTGTGGAGGTGGTTTGAAAGATTGGGAACCAGAAGATGATCCTTGGGAGCAACACGCTAAGTGGTTTTCTAAATGCTGTTATGTATTAATCGTGCAAGGGCAAGATTATGTAAATAAAATAACAGGCCAGCATATATCTCCACCTTCTAAAGAAGTAAGTGCACAAATCTATATCCTTAATTGCATATTTTATGCCATGGGCATAATAAGTAATTAATAATTGCATTACATACTTATGGATATTGTATTTATTTCAGGAAACAATGCAGATGAATCTACCCAGTTTTATTAAGAAAGTACAACCTACCAGTGTAGAAGTAGAAAGGAAAGAAGAGACAGAAAGCAATCCAGGATCAAGTTCTCAAAATAATGATATTTGGGGTATTGGAAGCAATACAGAACCCATAAAAAGAAGTTTAGAATCCGAGCCAGCAGAAAATCCATCAAATATAAAAACGCAAAATACCAAACCTACTGATGATGCAAGAATGTGCAAAATCTGTTATAACGGAGAATTAGGAGTGGTATTTTTACCATGTGGACATATGGTTGCTTGTGTAAAATGTGCTCCTGGCATGACAACTTGTGCAGTATGTAGAGAACCTGTTACGATGACTGTACGAGCTTTCATCCCATAGTATTCCATACATATTCATAGTATTACTACAATTATAGATAAAAATACATTGCATACATGGATGATATATTTATGGTGATTCTGTCCTTTGAATTTTACTTTTAAGTGTTTTTTCGAACCACCAGAAACAGCATTAAAAATAAGCATAATACAACTAAGAATAAATCGAGTTGCAGGTGTGCTGGTTGAAAATCGACTGGGACTCGGATTCGAACTTATGGATCTCTCGGTTACGAATCCAAGCCCCAGCTAACCGAGCCAGCACAGCTCTATAGTATTTGTATACATCCTGATAATGAATAATTTCGCCTTCCCGAAATGCTTCGATACAACTCGAAAAAGCGAAAGAAATCAAATTGTAACGAAAAAACGCGCTAGTTTCGAGAGCAATAAAGCGAAAGAAGCCAAGTCGTCGCCATGAGTGTACGTTAGACTTTCTCAATTCTTCACATCAATGTATAAAGAAATTCATTTTTAACATGTATCACGATTAAAAAATATTTATCACTTATCATAGCAACTGTAAGTATTTGGTATAGGGGATTAAAGGATTAGAAAATAATAAAATAGAATACGAAATGCATTACAATCTTGCATTTTTATTAAATTTCTCTAGTTAAATATTGATTTTTTGAAGACAGTTAAAAGTAAAGTGCAAAGTGTGGAATTATTACAAATATATTTCCTGTATGTAACAGATCTTTATCTACAATTGTTCCATTCATTTCCATTGCAATTTCTACTTCATGCGTTAAGTAAAGTAAATAATTTATGTGAACCTAAAATAATACAATAAAAATTAGCGTATGTAAAAAACAATTTCGGTATTTAAAAATACAATTACGAATGAAAAGTACAAACACGTTTATTAACATTTCCAAATTTTTAAATTATTATTATTCATATATTGTTATTTATTCAAGCAAATTTATTCCATGTGAAGTTGAATATTGGGTAAAATTGCTAAATTTTATGTAATATTCTAAGATATTCTAAAATTTTGTATATTCAAAATTTACACGCCAATATTATTAATTTTCTATTTATTGCGCCTTTTTTTATACATATGTTAAATGGATTGTCGTATCTTTTTTTGTTTGTTTCTTTAATACGTTGTTACATATACATTTACATGTTCTGTAAAAATCATCAAAATCCTAAAAGCGTTTTTGTAATATGTCGAAAATAGGATACAAATTTCATTAAAGTATGTATGTATATTAGAAATATAACTTTTTTAATGACCATGTATAATAAAAAAGTACAATATCTTTATTATTACCCTTTAAATGACCTTTAAAAGTATACATATTGTAGTCTTAGCATTAGTTAAAAAGTAATTTCTGTTAAATTCTCATTTAAAGCATCTAATATTGTATATGTAGTCTTTTTGTTATATATACTCTGATACGTTCATTTTTATCTAACGTTCTCATATACATATGTATATATTATGATATTTTTTATTTTTCAAATTAAAGTATAAATATATGATAAATCATACAAAGATTTTAACGTGTAAAAAACCTAACGATATAGGATGGAATATACAGCTATAATTTGAATGAAAAATAAAATAACTATATTACTCTTAGGATGATCTATCTCTATTTATTTATGGAAGATACATAAAATGTTTTCTTTCTTCATAGTTTTAATTATTTAGATGTCGCTGTGATTGTTAAAATGGCGACTGTTCGATACGATAGTATGACATAAATGAAATGATAGAATGTGATGGATGCTAATATCTTAAATCGATACAGATTTAAATATTTGTGTTCTTTGTAACTCATTACAATGAATTAATATCAGCAATGGGAGATCTGTTTGATATTGCAAATTTAATTACAACTGTCGGTGTTGATAGAATAAAAATTAAGCCGGAACCCGGACTGCCAGAAAAATCTTCAAATGAAATTTTAACAGAGTTGTTTAGCACATTTGATGCTGAAGAAGAAATAGTGTCATCAGAAAATACTGATCAGCAAGTTCCAAATGCAAGTGTTAAAATTGAGAAACCTATTAAATCTCAGGTCAAGAAAAAAAAAACTAAGAGGAAACATAAGCACAAAGACAAAAAACATAAAAAAAAGTCAAAGCGAAATTCTTCTGAGAGTAACAGTGATCTTGAAAGTAATATCAAAACATTATTAATAACTAGAGAAATAGGTAAGTGTATATATTATTTACGATTAAACATTATTTGTTTTTATAACAAATAGATATTAAAAAGAAAAGAAAGCATAGAAAGAAAACAAAACGGAGACATGAAGATGATTCAAGTAAGTCGTCAGATTCAGATGAACCCAAAAGTAAAATATCAAAACTTGATACATGCAACAATATGAAAAAGAAAGGTTATAATAAAGATAATGGACTAGGAAAAGAAGATGTAGATGGATCAGAAAGTTTTGAGAAATTAATAATTAAAAAAAATCCAAAATTAGAAAATATGTTTACAAAGGAACCCGATAGTCCTCAATTGCCACCTATTTCAAAAAAAATTGAAGATGATCCTGAAGAGCAATTAATATCTAAAGTTCTTGGTTTGTACCATCTATGTTAAAAATGATTTTAAAATATATTGTTGATTAATATACATTTTTTTCATTACGTCTTAGTTTAAATAAAAAATCATTATCCATATTGATATATATTGCTACTGTAATATCTTTTTCTATACACAGAAAAACCAAAGCAAGGACATCAAGGGAAAATATTGATAAAAGATCTTAAAAATAGTATAGTTTATAATGATACAGTTAGAGAAATAGAAAATAAAGAAAAGGAAAAGGCAGCTCGAATGGAAGATGGTGAATTATCTGATAGTAGTACAGATAATAGAACTCCAACATTAAGTCCTAGTCCAATTCGTTGTACTTCATTTAGATCATCAACTTTGAGTCCAACTTTAGAAAAGGTAGAAAACAGAGCCCCATTGAGTCCTGTAAAAGGAGAAGTAACAGCAAGAAATGATTTAAGATTAATTTTGAGGGAGAAAGAAAAGAAAAGATTAGGAGATGTGGACAAAAGATCAGAAGGAATAGAAAAATCAAAATTGTATATGGATAATGAATACAAAGAAAAAGCATATAATTATAACAGCAAAATTACAATAAACAAAGATAGCAAGCACACCCATAATTGCCATTCTCAAGAGAGAAGAAGATCTGAATCTCGTACACGTGTGAGTTTACGTAGAAGTAAAAGTAGAGAAAGGGATAAACGAAGAGATAAAAGTAGAGATAGATACAACAAAAGTCGAAGTAGTGATCAACGAGAATCTTTGAAATGTAGACAGCGACGAAGACATAGAAGCCGCAGTGATGATAGAAGCAGAGATAAATATGTACGAGGACGAAGTAGAAGTAGAGAACGAAAGTTAGTATTATTTTTTATAACTATATGTATATGTCAATATATACAGATTTATAGTTACATGTATAATTCATTAATTTCCATATCTTGTAAGGGAACGGATAGAAATTGATAAAAAGAAATTGTTAGAAATAGCAAGAAGAAATGCAATAAACATGATTAAACAAGGTACATTACCATTGGTACAACAAGATAAAGCTATTGCTGCAATACAAGCTGGAGGGAAAACTGTGGATGAACTCACAGGTATATACCTTGATAAAAATAATTATTTTATAATAATCTTTAGTAATTTTATTTTCTAATAATTTTCTTTTATAATGAGGATAGTTGGTTGTGTGATAGTTCAATAATGAGATTACTCTATGTTGGAACCGTCAAATATATTTTAAAGTAATTAATACAGACTCAACCATAGATTGTTCGATACAGGTGGTTAAGAGAATGTATGCTAAGACGCTCGGTACTAATTGATTCGCTAAAGACTGTGTGTTGATCGCTAATAAAATCGTTCGAGACTGAAACTGAAAAACTGGTCATCTTACGATCGTGTTTGTTTATTTATACTGGTCGAGGGTGTACCGGTAAATTTCAATTCGCCTTTGTTAGACGGTTACACGTAGCGGCGACATTGTTTTGTCCGGAGTTGGTTTATTATTACATTATGTATATCCTAACGATATTGGTACTCCGAGGCAAAACAACAGCGTGGCTCCAATTGTTCCCTAGCTGATGTCCCGCTACAATAATAATTATTTTTTTATTTCAGACTTCTGCAAGTCATTATCAAAATCTGAGGCATTAGGAGAACTTTCAAGTATCTCTTCAGAAGAAGATGGAAGTGAATCTGAAAAAGGTTTTCATCATCCTTTTTTACTAAAGGGTCGACCTAGTTCTATTATCATGAATATTAAGGTAAGTTTAATATATATATATTTTTAAATACATATTGTGTCTGTATATATATTATGTATATGTATTATGTTAATAAATTATTTATAATTATTACGTTTTAGGATGCAAAGCAATTACCAACCAAAACATTCCAAGAAAAAACAATAGAATCATCAAATCAATTACGTTTACAATTTCCTGTGTCAAGTGGACAACATCATAGAAAAAGTGGTAATGTTTTTGTTACTATAATCAAAATGATTTTATCATTCAAAATTTCTTGTTTATTGCAGAAAATGAATGGATACCAGTTGCCCCAAAGAAGCCAGAAACGAAAAAACAATTTATACCAGCTACTGTCCCAACTGAATCTTTTCCTATAACACCTCCGACTACATCCATATATCCAGTGCAATCGGCAGTTTTTTCTCACTCGATAGCAACAGAGGTATAGAAAATAGATAATTATTATTTAATTGTTTTACATATATACTTGCATTTATATGTACATTATATTTTCAGCCAATAGATATTGGTTCAATAGTATCTCAAAGATTAGCAGCAATGAGAAAATTAAGAGAAAATCCAAATGATGTATGTGCTCAAAATGAAATGTATAGAGCACAAAATGAGGTACTGTTGTATGTAATTACTTAACAAATATTTTAATATTTTCATATATTTGTTATTTGTGTATTACATAGATGAAAACATGGGCTGAGAGTAAACAAATGCCAGGTCAATTTACTGGGAGTACAGGAGCCAAAGTACTTTCACCTGCAGAGCTTACTTCAGGTTATCAAGCCTGGGCTCGTAAGGTAACACTATTACTAGATAATTTATCTTGTTATTTGTTGTTCTATATATATATATAGAATATATATATATATTGCTTAAAATACTATACTATACTATATATATATACTATGGAAAACTATTTTAAGCAATTCTGGTAGGAATAATCTAATTAAATACATATTTGTAACCTAATTTATAATTTATAGTACTAATAAGATGATAAATATGAACATTAAGACATATATTGACACTGTTGTGTTATATATATGTACATAATACAATTTCATTTTTTTCTTTCCATATCTTTTTCTTTTCTTTTCTTTCTTTCTTTTTTTTTTAACAATGCATTACCTGATACTGATATTGCCTGTAACAAGTTTTCAGGTACAGTCTCTATCAAGATCAATGCTATATTCTGATATATAGCAGATCTGATAAGAACTGTAATGTAGGCACAGACTATTTCTTACATAGAAGTAGATTCTGTGCCTGCATGGACACAGGAGCTCCATTATTTTATAGATTTTTGTGTTGTATGATTAGACTATATAATTAATGTAATTATACTTTACATTTAGTATTTAAGAAAATAAATTGTAGGTGTACTTAAAACAAAGATAAGTGTATAGAAATATTGATTACATGAAATTCTTGTATATAATGGGCTCTTGTTAGATTATTGCTAATTATCATCAGCTTCCTATCACAGGATTTCATCTGGAGTTACTGTATCTTTTGTTTATAAAGCTGGGATATTTAGCATTAGTCTGCATCCACCTGAGGGTTTGTTACAGGCACATAGCTACGTCAGAGAAGAAACAACTTCAGCGGCGTGATGTCAAATTTTGATTTTTTTGGTAAGTATTTTCACCCCAAAAATATTAGAATAATGTTAAAAAAAAAATATTAATTGCATATAGAATAACTAAATTATTTTATTAATTTTGATTATATGTTTCTCTCATTTTTAACTTTTAATTTCATTAACATTGTGAAATTCATTATATCTTAATTTAAAAAACTATTTAGGACCAATTAGTATCAGCACAGCCTGTTTCGGGTGGGATGGGTATGGCTTTACTACAGAAGATGGGTTGGCGACCAGGGGAGGGTTTGGGAAAAAATAAAGAAGGTACTCTTGAGCCCTTGCAGCTTGAAGTAAAATTGGATAAACGAGGACTTGTTTCTGAGCAAGACATCGGACAAAAAATAGGGAAAGCAACCAAACCACTAGTACCAGCAATCAAAACTTTAGAAGGTATATTTTAGTGAAAATTTACATATTGTAGCAATTTGATATAACAAATAATTTTAAATTTATATATTGCAGGTAAACATCCAGTATCATTATTAGGCGAATATTGTTCAAAACGAAAACTTGGTGCACCAGTTTATGAATTATGTTTTGAATGTGGACCAGATCATAGAAAAAATTTCCTGTTTAAAGTATGTGTAATTTTGTGCTAATTATACTTGTGTGTCTTTTTTGTTTCTAAATTATGTATATATATTTAATACTGTATCCTAGGTAAAAGTAAATGGAATTGAATACAAACCAAGTGTTGCGAGTCCAAACAAGAAACAAGCTAAGGCAGAAGCAGCACAGATTTGTTTACAAACATTAGGATTGTTACCTGAGCCTAATTCTATGCCTATTACAAAATCTTGAAAGTAAATCAATAATTTTATTAAAGTATAAGTAACAATGTATAAAAATTGTAAATTTAAAAGTATAAGTTACTTTATTCTTTTTACTGTATATAATGTTCAACATTTCAACACATTTCATTTTTACTATTAATTATTTAAATATTTAGTACTAATTATTATTTTAAACATAATTATTATAAGAATATGATGTAAATGAAACAAATAAAATATGTATATCATACTATAAGGATTTTTTTTATTTACATATTTGTTAATAAATGAAATGAAGACATAAGGATATTCACTGTCATATTATAAATTTATGTACCTAAGTATTTCGTATCTTACCTTTTTTGATACTGAATATTCAATTATCTTTATATTTGATAAATTGCTTTTTATCATATAAATGAATTATGACTTTTTATATAACAATTCGTCTAATAATTATTAAATAAAAAGTGAACTATATCAGAGTGTAGAAGTGATACTGAATAGGTTATTGTTGACATCAGGTATAAATTTTAAAGTTCTTAATAATGTTTAACTTAATATTTTATTTTTTTATTTTTATAGATACTACAATCGTCTCCAAAAAGATTATAATTATCATTTAATTAGAATAAATGAAATGGCATCACGATTGACATTAAAATTGCTATAAAAGTGAAACACCGGCAATTTCATTTCTTTTGTAATGGATGATGTAGAAGTTCCAATTTTTTACGACGATGAAGTTGATTTTGTGGAGCACGAATATTTACAAGATGTGGAATATGAATACGAATATGAAAATGTGGAAAGAGAAACGTTATTTGAATTATATCAATATTGTCTTCGACCTACTATTTATGATACAGTATCATATATATTGCCACTATTTATTTCTACTATAATATTTAGATTATGTGCATATTCTCGTAAGACATATTTTTATAAATGTACCTACGTATATGATAAAGAAATATAAATTTGGACAATTGATGTTTAATCCAATGTTGCAGGACATGTATCACATAGAACTTTTCATATATTATCAATGTTGATTGGTATATGTAATATTTATCGTTATGTAGCAGAATGTTTATATACATTACTAATACTTTGCACGATTTCATATATTACTTTACATATACCCAAAAAATATTGTAAATACATGGGCATATTTTTACCATCACTTTTTATTATAACATATTGGTAAGGTTTAGACAGTAACTACTTTAAATGTCAAAAATATATATGTATATGTAATCAATTTTCATCTATAATTTTTAACGTTTTTCAGTGAATTTACTATGTCATCTATAGTATGGCATAAAATACGGAGTGTAGTAATGACTATGGCAATGAAAACGATTAGTATAGCGATAGACCGATCTGATACAAATGATTTACCTAATATCTTTGCATATATGGGATATATGTTTTGTAGTGTCACTTGCCTCTTTGGTCCATGGATATCATTTAAAGATTATATATCAATACGTTACACAACTCATCAAGTATGTACAATTGTTATTATTGTACATGTCATATATTTACTATAAATAAAATTAAAAATTTAATATTTTCTAATTTCAGGATAAATGGTGGATATTATATACTATTCAGCATGTATTCTTATCCTTGCTTTTTTTGTCTATTTCAAATTGTTGGGCACAATGGATGATCGCAGAAACTTCTTGGAAGTTAGTAAATATTATTATATATATTATGTGTTATAATATAATAAGTTTTAATATACTTTCATATTTTTAGATGGTTATTAGCTTATAGAGATGCATTATCTTTCAGAATGTCTCATTACTTTATTTCATATATAGCATCCAGTTTATTATTACTAGGAGGATTTCCATCTACATTAAGTACTGTAGTGAAACCATTAAAAATAGAATTACCACATTCACTTGTGCATGTTGTTATTTGTTGGAATATACCAATGCATTTTTGGCTAAAAACATGTACGTTAAACATCCAAACTATTCATATAATTCATACATGTTTAAAATTCTATCATTAATAATTTTGAAAGTATTATATGTTTTTATATAAATTTTCAGATATATTCCGTCCCAGCATTAAATATTTGGGAAAGTTTGGAGCTGTAACAATGACGTATTTAACGAGTGCTCTTTTACATGGGTTAAATTTTCAGTTAGCAGCAGTATTGCTTAGTCTTGGATTTTATACTTATGTAGAATTTCAATTTAGATATATGCTTGCTAATATTTTTGATGCATGTGTTGCATCAAAGCAGTGCACCAAAACTAAATGTACACATGCATATAACATTCACAATTCATGGTGGGTGCTTTTAATAAACATGATGTTTTCTGGACTATCAATTTTTCATCTAGCTTATTTAGGTCTTATGTTTGATACATCTGAGTTACAAGAAACAGGATATAGTTACATTCATACTATTGAAAAATGGTCTCAACTTGGATTTGCTAGCCATTGGGTAGTATTTGCTACATACTGCATATATTTTTTAATCAGATAGTACTAATTGTAAGCACAAATATTTATTTTTTAACACATTTCTAATAATGAACACTTAATATTGTTTTTTGTATCAGTAATTCATGTACATCACATATATAACTTATTATTTAACTAAATTTGAATATAAATGTTATTCTTTTTTTAATAATTGTAATATTCAATATAAGCCGAAAAGTATCTAATAGATTTTTGTAGGAATTATCAACATAAATGAGACAAGCACAAGAATTCTAAAAGTTGTAAAATAGGTAAAATACATGGTTTTTAGTCGTATTAACCATATAACAACTATAAAGTATATTTGAATGTAAGTGTACATAAAGCATAATATCAAATAATTAGTAATAAATCAATATAAATAATAATATACTTAATGTCAAATAACGCTAAAAACTTTATGTATTGTTAAATAAGATATCAGTGACATATATTATGCTATCAAGCTGATGAATATTATTAAAATTCAACATAATCATAATAGCGAATAAAAGTACTTTTTCAATCAAAATACAATAATGTCGTATTTTAATTTTTATTGCTTACAATGAATCATACAATAAAGAACATTATGTTTGTAATATTATGACATAATGTGCTATATATTGCATTTAAATTAGAAACACTAAAGGAAACAATGTTTTAGAATTAGTTGTATCCTAGTTTTTAATAAAATATATGAAAAATTTTGTATCCAATATCGAATTGCGTATTTAAGGCAAAAATTGAAATTATATGTTCATACATACCTATTTCCCCTTTTCTTCATTTCTCTTTCTCATATAACACACTACATACTAGCAGAACATTATTTATAAACCAAATGATAATCAATTGAAATAGAATACTAACTCTTGTACACGTAAAGTTTCTCTAATATACTGCCGTGAGAGCATACTTTATGTTTTTAATATTAGCTGATCATGATATATACATAATTCTATATTCAACTATATAATTTACAACTGCAAAATTATACACGAAAATTTTGTACATGAGAGATATTTATAATTTTTATTAATGAGTCAATTTCTTTTTTCTAGATAATGATGTTTGTGATCTATTCAATAACTTTTTAATTAACAAAAATGTACTTTCTTTTTAGCCTTAAATATTAATAACATACAATATGTTATTTTACATTAATAAAATATCTTTCCATTATATGTATATCAATAATATTTTTTCAAGAAGTGCGTTAATTTATTAAAATATTCATCAAATTTGTTTGTATATACACATTATACGTATATATACATATTATAAATTATGTATACAATTATATTTTTCTAAAAGATATCTGTAATTAAACCCTTCATATTTTCGACGTATTATATATTAGTACTGACATACTACTAACTTGTATACATATTCTATTAATAAAAGGAATAAAACAATAATTCTATATAAATCGTACTATGTATCGTGCAGAATCATACACGAACACATTCCCTCATACGAGTATATTTCAGTTATTATTCTATTATCGACGCAATGATAAAGTTCACGCAATTCTTTTTACATATTTAAAAACTTAGGGATACAATAATATTTTTATAGTATTATTAAGCATATTTTTCAAAATATACTCTTATCAAATTGAGATTTTCAAATGTAGAGTAACATTATATGGCAAAGAATACAGATAGCATTTAATAAAGCAGTTTAAATAAAAATAGTAGACTATGAAGAAGTATAAAAGTCACGAAAAAATATTGATCAAGTTAGATGTTTTGTTTTGTAAATACTGTTATAATTAAGAACATCCAAAAGCAGTGATTTTTATCTAGAAAAAACAAAGCGTGAAAATATATAAACACTTATAACAGCAACAATTTATCACCTTATTTTTATATTTAACAGCATTTCGAATATTAAGCTTACATCCTCTATTTACACTCTATATAAGGCTACAAAATGAAAGTTAATATATATAACTGTATCCTCAGATTATTTGAAGAAATATGAAAGTTTAGAATTATTTTTAATTGGGTTTATATTAAACAAATGTAATAAAATTGTTAATAAACCAAATCGTTTTTTCAATATATTTTATTTCATTTGTTTAAACTATCTGTTTTTTTTCATGATAAGATATGATGACAAGAAGTTTGTATTGCAAAATAACTTTAATGATATTTTTGAAAACGGGTAGAAATAAATGACGTGATGCTGTGCAACTCAACAACTTTGTTTCATATAGCGGAGTCACACACTCATGTGTACCGGGGCTTAATAACATTTTCTACACGTTTTGTGTTAAAAACGATATAAAAAGGTAAAGATATAAAATAAGATAACCTGAAGACCCAGTTAAAATTGTTACATATCGTTAGTATAATTATACTGATCATATAACTTCATGTCATGTAGCACTTATATAAGTACTATACATAAATTGATCTCTCTTACATTAGGATTGCAATTTCTTATTAAAGAATACTATATAGAACAGTAATATGATTAGCACAATAACAAGTTTCTACAATCTATCTAGTTACAAAATTTATGATCATCACAAAATGTTGTTTTAATTTAAAGTTTAAAAATCTATTTAGTATACATAATATTCTTCTATAATTCAAGAATTATGTATGGGTGACTTTACCTTTTACATTAAGATAAATAAATTATGTTAATTACATAGTTATAAGTAAGAATGCACATATTGGGATTTTAAGTTTCTATTCATTTCATTATCTTTCTTATTGAATGTAATAAAACTTATAGTTCGTAAAAATAATTGCCACATAAATAAACATTAAAATCAAATTTAATAATTAATAATAATTCAAAATATCAAAAAAAGGAAATGATGATAAATGTTAATCGTTTTATACAAGTTTCTGTATACTAGTTCTTGATAACATATTGAAAAATGCTGATAACATGATTCAAAATAAATACAAAAATTCTACATAAGAGAGAAATTACCATTTTGACAATAGTTACTATTCTTTTAATAAAATCGAAGTTTGAATAAAATCAAGTAATACATAAATTTATATTAAAAGAGTAATAAGTAGACAAAGTGGAAATTTTCGAATTTAATTATTTGAAGATATTTATCCATAATATTATTTTTTCTGACCAGCAGAAAGATAACATAGTAAATCAAATTTGATAAAATCATATTATTATATTTTTATTTTATTTATCGTTCAATGTGTCGCGAAATAAGGAAGAATCTTTAAAAGCCACAAAGAGAAAAAATTGTTTGATTATGAGAAACTTATAATCCAACGTTTCAAATATAAACATAAAATATAACTACCAGAAACCATACCTAAACAACCTACCAGTGAACCATAGAAAAAACTATGATAACAGCTGTAGATCTACTTGATCTTCGTTGATCGCGACAAAAACAATTGTTTGAATTGAAGATTGATGATTAGTATGATGTTTTTACTGAATGATTGAATTTAAACGATGAGATCTTCTGCGATGTCGAGGTGCTTGAGCTACCGGACTGTCTTCTCCAATGCCATTGAGAATATCGGTTAGTCATCTGATAAATGCAGTTTTATAACTTTTGGTCGTACGCGCACTGCAAGTCATAGAAAGAATAGAAGCAATTCGTTAGCAATTTTAGCGTTGCTTGTTATTTAAGCTTTAATTGTACATTATTTAATTTCACAGAATAAATGCTACATAAATTTGTATTCTTGTACTATTTAAACATGTTCTGTATCAGTTCAGCAAAAAGTTCTTATGTATAAAAGTTAATAAATATATCATTTCATTTTTAAAGTCTGATAGTCTCTTAACCTTTATACTGTGATATGACTATGGTTGAAGATAATAACACAACAAATACGAAAAAGAAAAATTAATTTTTTTTTCAGATTGGAACATTTCCAAAGAGTTGAAAATATTAATTATGCAATGCAAAGGTTAAAAATTACTCTGTAATAAATTAAATAAATTTCTTGTCAATACATGCATATTTTAAATTAATAAAAAATTCATGCTGCATGCAAATTAATGTTAATGACAAGTGTAAGGTTTATATATATAGTTTTACATCTTTCTAAATATAAATATATACAATAAATTATGATTCCCAGATAAAGTAGACAATATATACAGCTAGTTATATGAAGTCTTGTTACAGTATTGTCTCATACAGTATTGTTCATTTTTAAATATAATATAATGTGGAAAAAAACTCATTTAAAAAGTGCAATCGAGAATTGTTTATGAAAAGAACTATATAACTGTTACTTAATTTGTTTAGCCTTTTGAAAGTAACAGTTACAAAGACTTACTGTCTTAGAGAATGATAGCGATTTACTCGATCTGCAGACCTGAGGATCATATTCATGCCTCGCTGCGGTTGTGTTATCAAATTGTTTGCGGACGAATTTGTCGATTGTGTTTCTGTGATACAAGAAGTTTTGATACTGGCCCTTGTCACTGGTTTTGATACAGGCATCGTAGTAACACGAGTAGTGGAAGATGTGTTGTTGCTGATATTGTGGAGCCTTGTTGTTGGTTTAGTAGACTTAATACGAGGCGGAGATGGTTCACATGTACTGCTGACTAGCCAACTGTTTCTATAATTTTTAGTATAAACTTTAAATAAATTATATATTGATATACTTTTAAATAAGTTCGTATTTACTTCTGTGACATTTATTAGTTAAATTGCAAAGTAATCTAGCCAAAAGTGGAATGGGCAAAAAGATTAGTGTAAATAACTTGTGAATTTCTTTCTTTTTTAAATATATTGAATACATTTTAACTAACCTTTTAGCAATAGTTGTCGTAGTAGATCTAGGGAGAAGTCTTTTTGTAGAATCTTTTTCTTTATTTCCAGTTAATGTATTAATTGTATTTTTCTGAGTTCTTGTTTGTAATAATGACCTTAAGTATGGACTGAAAGGATAATATTCATGTATTAACTACAACATTCTGTATTTTCACAATAAGTTAAATTGTATTATTATGATTTTTACTTTACTACTGTTGATGGTCTAGTAGTTGTGTTAAGAGAAGTATGATTTGTTGGTAATCGTTTTCTTTTAGCTTTAATTTGATTTAATTTATCACCCTGAGTTAAGGTTGTATATTTAGTTGTGCTAGTGCTTGCATGATCATCTAATGTAATTCCATCCACACAATGCATTATTCCCGAAACATTATCTTGCACCACATGAGCACTTTTTAAATTGGATAAGAATGATGTTTTCGGTCTACCAGTTATAGAATATATACCATATTTATGAACTGGATTTTCATTTTGAGGTTGTAGTGGCTCTTTTAATAAAGAATGAAGATATGCTTCTTTCCTAAAATATAAAATTATTAATCTTTCGGTGTCAAAAGATGATACTATTTTTAAAACACAAGCTGTAAATATTGATATTTTAATAACGATGCATACTTTTCCAACCATTCCTGTTGATGTCCAATTACAGAACCTGGTCTACATATTCGTATCCATGCAATTGTTTCATGAGCTGTTAAGTGATAATGTTTCATAATGTAACAACCAATCAATGAACCTGTTCTACCAAGTCCTGCTCTACAGTGTACAGCAACAGCACCACTTGCATTCTCTGCTATTTTAAGAAATTGCCGCATGATTGAATCTGTTGGAGTTGAACCATCAATAAAAAACAAATCTTTATGATCAAATCCTGCATCTGTGAAGATTGAAGCATCATAAATTTTTTTATTAAGACGTATAATTGTAGTTACATTATTGTAATGGAAATATGTAAAATATGATTCTGGTGCATGAAGTGGATATCCTATAAAAAAGAAAAAATAAAGATAATAAATTATAGAAATGTAAAAAAGAATCATAGGTAGAATAGGTAAATTTATTTAAAACTTAACTTACCATTTTCTATTTTAAATTTAGCATAAGGACCACAAAATGCTATAAATTTACCAGGAACAATCCAATTTAAATCTCCATTTTCAACTCTTTCAAAATATTCATATTCCTTAACACAAAAATCTTGAAAATTAAAAAATCCAAGTTTGTGGCACTTATATATGGCACTAAGACATTCAATCAAAGATATTTCAAACCAAGGTGTACCAACAGAAGCATCCCGAAACATTATAAATGATGGATTGTCAGGAATACTATTTAAGCAATTATATGCTTCTTCTGCTGTACGTTTACAATATAATATCTAAAAAATATATACTAATGAATCTTATTTTTCTGAATATGTATAATAAATATATGTATTTAACAATGTGAATGAAATTAATATAATAACATCTTACTGCATAACTTCCTATAAGAAAAGCAGCATTGACTCTTTTTGATGGATCCATTGTTGTATAATGTACTATCTTTTTTCTTCTAAGAGTTACTGCTTTAAGTTTTTTATTAACCTTTTGACAATAATGATATAACATAGCAAGATTCAGTGGACCAAAATCATCATAGAAATTTTCATAGATTAATTCATCATCGATACTGAAATAATGGATGTTTGGAGTACTCTTTGGCTTTGTCCTCAATGTTATAAAATATAATCGGTCTACAACATAAGCAAAAAAATATAAGTGATACTTTAAAAACATTTAAATAATACATTACTTGACATAAATTAAGTACTATAATAGCATATTATCGTATATTTTTTTTAATTTCTTACCTTTTATGAACTCAGATGCACATACTAGTAAGTCATTTGTATCCTCCATCATTGGTTCTTATTTATTATCTGATATTGTGAATACCAACTGAGTAAGCCTGTCATCAGCGTAACCGATATAAGAAAGGATACAATTTAATTAACACAATCAGAGATCATAAATATAAACACACAGAAGGTTAGAATAGGTGTAGTAAAGGTAAACTGGATCCATCTAAGTACCTACACACGGTTACATTTGCATGGTATGTGTAATACAAACGAATTTATAATTATTATGACGTACGCGAAAATACGATATGTACTATATTAAAAAAATGTTTACTTACCTATGCGACCGTTACAAGATTCAAACTTGGTCAATGAAGAAATAATGATGGCTGATCAGTTACGTTGTTGAGTTCTTCCGGTTATATTGTATATTCAAACATACGATATTTCATAAGTATCATGCAACTTCTTTTTACTATTCAAATATAACCATTTTATAAAATATCAGCAAGATGTTTATTTTGTATATATATTAACATCATTACCCCCTATAAAAACGAAAAGTACTTTTCAAATACACTGCCATTTTCGTTGCCTTGTAATATCAAACTTTGATGACGACGTACGAATTCAATGTCTAGAACAAGAAACATTGTAGACGTTCACTAGTACTACAAATGCCTCATATAATATTTAAAAACTCTGAAGTTAATATACAATTAATGTTACATGTTTATAGCACAATTACGTCGTGATGATTTTCAGTTTTTATTTGGTGAGGACTAAATGATTATTTCATTAATTACAAAACAACGCACTCTGTTAAATAAAAATTCCCTACATTTTCCATAGTCACGCTATTATTTGAAATGAAGTTGACTTTATGCTTATCGATATATGCATAAGGTGCACGAAATTTTAAATCGTCTATACATATACGAAACATATATCTTCAATCTTCTTCGTTAGTTTAATTATCACTTGAATCTTCTTCATCCGGTAGAAATGATATGACAAGAAGAAAATTGGAATTCAAAAGCCAGGAAATAAACTGTTCAGAAAATTTTAAGTTTAATTATTAGCAAACATAATAAATTAGTAATTTATCAAGAAATGTACCGTAGATGGTTGATCTTAAACAGCTCACGTCTTAAAAATAAATAATTCATAAATATTTTTGAGAACGTATTCTCATTCCCTGATTGACATGTTATACAATGTTGTCAAGTACGATGATGGAACGTTTTCGTCTCGACTGGAGATAGAATCAGTCTGGAGGTAGAATGAAGCCAAGAAGAGGAGGAGGATTCTAGATTCAGGAAGGATCAAAGTAGAATCTCAAAATTAGTTTTTTAAAAGTTATTTTTGCATCCTAATAGCCGTTTTCAATTTTTCACTCATTTTGTCAAGTAGAGCGGTTCAATGCTTAATAGTACTACCGTACACGTGGTACACTACATGTGGAATAACTTTTAAATAAACGTTAAGTTTATAATACTATATATAAATTATCATTAGTCCTTTTTGAATTTGAATTAATGTAATTTATATTTATATCGTTCACAATGCATTTTATCTAAAAAATGTTTACGTATTATTATGTTTTTATATTAAGTTATATGTTTAAACAAAAACGTGAAACAATTATTATAAATAATTGTATAGCATAATTTAACTCTAACCAGTTATTATAACCACGATCATTTAAACATGTCTCGGCATTTGCTAGGAAAAACTGTTCGAAAATTGAGTCATGAAAAATCAACATGGAAAATCAACGAAGTTCGCGTTTTTTGCGAGACAGACAGAGATGAGTAGAGTATCTCTGTCTCTGTGCAAGAGATTCATAGCATGTCACGCATGCACAGAACGCGAATTTTCTTGTCTTCCATCTTGATTTTTTACAACTAGTCACCGCTCAGTTTTCGGACGGTTTTCGTCAGCTTTTGCAGAGATGAAATTTTCTCTCTTCTTTTGGTGTATGAATGTTGAGAGCTGTTTATGTAATTGTGATTATAGCTACATTAGACATGTCGCCGTTAGTAACTAGAAGGCGTAGTTTGGAATAACGTTTTTGACATTCACTGAATGAAATTTGGACAGGAAAGGGGAAAAGATGGAGTGTAAAGAAGGCATTCAGAGGGATATATTTTCGACAGAACGTATGATTTCCAAAACATTTATATTTTCTGAACCACATGTACTTAGTCCTCCTAGACCTGTTAACCCTGGGATTGATTTTGAACAAATATCAGATGCAGCCAATATTAGGAGAAATTCATTTACCTTTGCTATGCCAATTTTAGCAACGCAATCTCATAATCAAGATATATCCACTCTTCAATCGGATATATATGAAAAGCAATATAAGCCGAAAATATCAAGAAATTATTACAAACCAGCTGTTAATGTATTTGCTCAAGCACTTAAAGATACTGCAATGTTTGAGCAGTTAAAAAGAAATTCCAGGTCACAAGTTACTAAAATTAATCCAGAAAATTCAATAACATGCACAAATGTACCTCAATCATTACTTACAAAAGCAACAGCAAAACGATATTTTATTCAATTTGGGAATCTTTTAAAAATTACTATTCGTCCCAGAAAACAAATAATTACTGTTATTTATACTACTAAGGAAGAAGCAAATATAGCTTATAGTAAAAGTGGTGAATATTTAGGAGAAAAATTTAATGTAGAATGGACAAAATTATCCATTCCACCAAAATCTCCTACAAAAAAGAAAGATTTACAAAAAAACAAGATTTACAATGTATCACAAATTGTATCTAATTTTTTTAAATCATCTGACGATGAAATTAAATCAGAGTTAGATGCTATGACAAATCTTGAGCATAATTTACATAGTAGAAATAATTTTGATGAGACTTTGGCTAAAAGACATAAAATATTACAGTCGAAAAGTATGTCAAAGTCATTTACAAGATTAGAGAAAACATCTGCAAAAGCTGAAAAACTTAAAGCTGAAAGTCAAATATCTGATTTATTACCAAATGCTAGTATCGAAGAATTACAAAATATAATTCAACAACCTGCATATACATCTGAAGACAAGTATAAGGTATTAGAAGCAAGAGATCGACTTATAAGGATGAGACAAATTAAATCACATACATTAGCAGCAGCTAAAATAATGATTGGAACATGTCCTGATATGTGTCCTGAAAAAGAACGTTTAATGCGTGAGTCAAAAAGACAAGTGGCATTGTATGAACAGCTTGAAATCAATGAATATAGAATAAATCACATGGTTGCAGTTAAACAATATTCTAGATCTTCTGCAGATCAAGAAGAACCAATGGCACATGAATTGAGACCAGTAAAATCTTTAAAAATGACTATGAGTTATTTACTTCACGAGATAGTAAATCTTTGTGACCAACAGGGTACAAACTTGGGAGAATGGTATCATTTTTTATGGGATAGAACAAGAGGAATTCGGAAAGATATAACACAGCAAGAGCTATGTTGTATTGATAGTGTAGAATTAGTTGAACAATGTGCTAGGTTTCATATAGTATGTTCAGAGAGACTTTGTGCAGAACAACCATCTGTTTTTGATAAAAAAATTAATTCTGACAATTTAACAAAATGCTTACAGTCATTAAAGTACATGTATCATGATTTAAGAGTAAAAGAAATTAGCTGTAAAAATGAACCTGAATTTCGTGCATATATTATTTTATTGAATTTAAACAATGGGAATTTTATGTGGGATTTGCAAAGACTACCAAACAACATACAAAAATCATCAGAAGTCCAGTTTGCATTAGATACATATTCTGCTCTTGAGTCTAATAATTATTATAAATTCTTTAAACTTGTTCAGGAAACTACATATTTAAATGCGTGCATCTTACTCAGATATTTTTATCAAGTGAGATTAAAAGCATTATCAGTATTAGTCAAGGCTTATTGCAGGACTGCGTCGACAGCATATCCATTATATGAATTAATAGATACTTTAGGTTTTGAGGATGAAAATGAAGCTATATATTTTTGTGAACAAGTGGGATTAAATGTTTCAGAAGATGGCTTACATGTATTATTGAACAGACATAACTTTACCATGCCTGTATTACATATAAAACAAAAAAGAGCATGCAATTTAATAGACTCTAAAAGAATTATGCAACGTTTATCTATCGGAGAATGTATAGCAGGAGGAAAAATGCCAGAAAAAGTTTATAAGTATCATAAACCTCACAATAGTTTTGATTCACATGGTTACTTAATGCCTGATTCTATTAATGCAGAAGATCAAAATAAAAGTATTGTTTCTTCATCAACTGATCCATATGAGTTTATAGATGAAGATATAATGCACAATGAGCAATCCATATCAATGTCTGAGAAAAGTCAAAATAATAATGAAAATGTGCTTACTACTGAACACACAATTACATTAAAGACTGTTTCAACCACTGAAGCTAATACAAATCTTTTAGCCATGAAATCCAGTGCTAATACCTCCTGTGTCTCTAAATCTCAGACACAAATAAATAAATTTCAAATAAATACAAATTCAGAATTAATAACATCAAAGATAGGAAATCAGAAAGATTCAAGGATATTTAGTTTTGTATCAGCACAACAATCAAATGAATCTTCCATTTTGTCTAATGTATCGAATGTAACACCAACAACTTCTAAAACTTCTAATTTATTCTCCAAGCAATTTGAACCTCCATCAGACAATGATATTGCAAGAGTAACAAATAAAAGCATATTTTCAAGGATGTCACAAGGAAATATATATATGAAAAATCCTACATCTTCCACAGTATTTTCTAGTACATACTCGAATGTACAAACTATTTCAAAATCATCAAACATTGTAAATCCTGTAACTCTCATGGGTAAAACTATACCAAATGAAACGTCAAATTTCTTTGTAAAAAGTCAAGTTCCACAAGAAGAGAAAACTGGAAAGTTAAAATTAGAAGAACAAGAATTTATTAAAAGGATGCAAGAGATTAATGATATTGCAAAAGACATATTAAACACTTTAGAAACAGAACTAGTACAAGCACATTGTTCTGCTATAGTAAAGGAAGAAACAGATAAGATATATATTTACAACACTTTTAGCGAGGATATCAGTAATGAAATTTTTAACGAGGTAACTTCTGAAATTTGTGATAATTTATTACAGAAGGAAATTGTTAATGCACGAAAATTACATGAAATATCAGTGAAAATAAAAAATAGAGTAATTGTAAAATATTTCAATAAATGGAGATTTAATGCATTGAAGAAAAAACAACAAAGAACAGCATTAGAAAATACACCTGTATGGTTGCAAAAACATACTAGCGAACAATGTGCAAAATTATTGTACACTACGGAACAAGATTTAGTTATTAGAAGCATGTGCAAAAAGTACAAAGAGATAAGAGATATTAAATATTATTCTGAATCTTTAGCACCAATTACTGTTATAATCCACATTGGTATTAAAGAACACTTGAAATCTTTAAACATTGACATACATTTCAATTGTTATTGGAAATTAATTATTTCTTGGCCAAACTTACATAACAAAACAATTTTATGGCATTATAAAAAAATAATGAATCAGTATCTTTGCCCTGAGGATTATTCTGCAGATCCTATTATAAAATTGTATCAACCAAATCAAAGTGAAACATTACATATTTGTATTAGACATTTTGAAGGCCTGATTAGTAATCATCATTTAATAGGATCAGATGCTCTTTTATTTACAGCAGATGCTTCTGAAGAAATTAAATTTATTGTAAAACGTTTAACAAAAATTGTGTTATCCAGAGACAGGCTGATGCCTATACCACTTGTATTTCTTATTTTGGGTGACTCAACATTTCAAACTCAAGATAAAGAAATTATTTCTACTTTAGAACAATTTTTGAAATCTGGATATCTGTCAGTGTACACAATCATACATGAAAAAAATTTAAATGAGAAAACAATTTTAAATTTAACACAAAGTGCAATTCTTTGGTTGTCCATTAACAAATCACCTCAGAATCCACTAGAAATGGATTATTTACAAAATATTTATAATACTTGTTTAACAGAAGACTTATGGCTAAGGTATTGTAATTAAAGAATATTAATTATTATAAATTTATGTAATTTTTTATAACATTTTGTAATTTTTACAGAATATATGATAATTCGTTCTTCAATGAAAAATTATTACATGCTCTGGAGAAGCCTAAATTTATAATTGATTTACATAACGAAGCAGTTTCTCATGTAATAGACATAATCTTAGATCCTGAATCTTTTATGTATACAAAATTTGCCCCAGAGTTTAGAAAGTTCGTTAAAAATCACTATATGATGCCATGTAGTTATGAACATTTTGATGATGTTTGGAAAAGTGAAGAGTATAAAGCAAAATTAGAAAGAGTAATGTCTAGCTTTAAGTTGCCTCAGTGGAAGTAAGTAGTATCATAAATATTTTATATTATATTTAATACTGTTTTCATATTTAATTCAATTTATTAATATGTATTCTAGGTATCCATGGCCTATAAATAATAGTATCATACTTCGTCAATATATAACAAATTATTGTCAAGAAGCATTATTTACTTCTGGTGATGAAATATCTGATAATATATTGAGTAATCTGTTTATTACAACTGGAATTTCAACTGTGTCGAATTTTATCGATGTATTGTTATATGTTATTAAGCAAAAAATATATCTTCTTGCTAAAGATTTGAAAGTAATTTACAATAAGAATTATTTGAAATGTTTTCGAACTTTACCATGGTGGTTAAAGTCTAATCTATTAACCGAATATAAAATTGTACCAAAAAATATTAATGTTCAAGAGACTGAAAAAGAAAATAAGAAAATAATCGATATTAATGAACCAGCGGTAAAGAAACGGAAGTTAAATAAATTTCAAGAAAGCAAGTATGAACTTGAACCATTAGCAACGTTTTGTGAAAATAGTCGTAGTCAAGTAATGGAAGTGCACCATATTTCAAAAAAAATTGAAAATCGTTTGAAAGAACATCAAGAACAAAGCTACTTACTTGAAGAAAAGTTAAAGAACGCTTTGTTAAATGAAAAGAAGTATGTGTAATAAGTTGTAATGTATAAAAAACTTAAAATTATTTTGATCTTTAAAAATATCTACAATATTTCAGAAACTGTGTTTATAGTATTATACAAATAATAATGTATTCATGTATATAAGCAATATATAGAATAAGACTGGAAATATTGTATTGTATGGTACACAGAAAGTGTGATTCCTTATCTAAAAATAAATCAAAATGTGTAGATAATTTTTTTTTACTAAAGGTTTAATTTCCTAGAAAATCGATTTTGCATTTGCCCTATCTCTTATATCATAGCTAAGATATGATTCAGATAGATAAGATAGTACACAATAAATTTTCAACATCAACTGCCTTGAAAACTTTTTTGGATATTAAGCATCTTTTCCGAATAGAATGTATATGTAATAAGTGCGGATAAAGTAAAAATATTTAAAAACTGTAAAATAATTCTGGAATTATAAAAATGCATACACTTTATAATATCTTACATATATTCTCGTTGTGATTATTTATAGATTAATGTAAAAATTAAAAAGTTAATGTATTTACATAAATAGAAATTGATTGATTTTTATTTGTTTTCCTATATATTTCATAAAATAATCATATAATTTACAATCTTATGACAGTTCCAATTTATAAAGCAATTTTTATAATTAAAATAATAATATGAATTTCAATTTGAATTTTCAGAAACTTTTATATTACATCTTTTTTTGTAAAAACTTTTATATATTTAATTTAAATCTAAATATATTATATTACACATAAAAAATAAAAATATAAATAATCGTAAATTTATTTCAAATTATTTTCTGTTCAATAAAGTTGATTACTGTTCTATGTTCATCGTGGTTCATTCTTGAAAATGCTCCTTGATTCGTAGTGCGGCCTCTATTGGAGAATTATTATACAAAGACTTTTAAATTTTAACGGACTTTGTAAATATTGAGTACCTTTAGCTAGTACTTATTTACTTATTCGTTTAAAATCCATTGAGTTGTGTGAATGGAGAATTTGGTGTTTCCTAACGCGGCATTATAATATTTTTTCATAATTCTATATATTAATGCTTCTTTTCGTTTTACAAGTAAATTTGTCGTTTAATAAATCTTAACTAGAAGTCTAATAATTTAATTGCTTAAAATGCAATAATATTACAAAGTATTTCATATTTTTAAAATAAATCATTATTGGTTAATTTTAAACATTTTCATCATGTCTCACTTAAAATATATGAAAGAAATAAATAATCTAACTCGCATGGATGAAACTATTAAGGGGCCACTTCCGCGTTGGCAGAAAAAATGTTTAGAAACATCAAATTCCAGGTACTACTTTATTAATTCATATTTATTTTATTATTAGAAGTAAAATAAAATATATTTTATTACTAAAATAATTCATGTGTACAGTGTCAACCTTAGTATTAATTCATCACGAAAAATTACGAACGGATCATTTGCAAATAGTACTACAGGAAAAACACCAACGAAAAAGAGTGACACTCGAATGAAGAAAACACCATCTAAAACTTCTAAGAAATCTCCAAGTATGAAGTCACTTTTATAGTTTAGAATATCTATAATATAGAAATAGAGTAATTGTTGTCTACATATATAAATAATATATAGTGATATATAGAAACAGTTCTACATAGTTTTTTAAATATTATCTAATTAGGTCGTGCTTCTACACCAGCTAAGACACCTAGTGGTGGTGATAGATTTATTCCTTCAAGAGCAACTACTAATTTTGATCTTGGTTATTATAAGGTAAATGTATATTATTTAATATAAATTTTATTATCTTGATATAGTAGATAGCAATATTTTAAATATAAAATCTTTCAATTTCAGATTCAACAACAACCAAATACAGAAAAAAATGAAGAAAAAGTAGACAATATAAGTCCTTCCAAAAGGGAAATGCAGCGACTCATGGGAGAAAATTTACATGGTGGTGATATTAATCAGATGAGAGTTTTGTCTTATCAAAATAAAGCACCAGCCCCTCCAGAGGGTTATCAAAATCCATTGCGTGTTGTGTATAGCCAAAGTAAAACACCAGCAAGCATAAAAGCTTCTACAAGATATATACCACAAACTCCTGATAGAATACTGGATGCTCCAGAAATTGTTGATGACTATTGTAATATATGTTTAATATATAGATGTTTAATATATATTGTTACCAAACAATTATAAAAATTTGGAAACATTTCAGATTTAAATTTAATTGATTGGTCGGAAAATAATATTCTAGCTGTAGCATTAGGTGCTAGTGTATATTTGTGGAATGCAGCAACAGGGACTATTGAACAGTTGCTTGAATTAAGTGGCAATGATTATGTTTGTTCTGTTGCATGGATTCAAGAAGGTCCCTATTTAGCTGTAGGTACTACAGTGGGAAATACAGAATTATGGGATTGTAGTCAAATAAAGAGAGTACGTGTAATGAATGGTCATGCGGCCAGAGTAGGTTCTCTTTCTTGGAATTCACATGTTTTGACGAGTGGTTGCAGGTATGAAATTTCATAATACATATTGATGACAAAATTTTAATTATACCCTTTATATAGAGCAGGACAAATAGTGCACCATGATGTTAGGCAAAGGGATCACTTAATATCAACAATTAATGCACATGCTCAAGAAGTATGTGGTTTAAAGTGGTCACCTGATGGAAAGTATTTAGCAAGTGGTGGTAATGATAATATGCTTCAAATATGGCCATCAATCTCTGTACAAAGTCATACAAACACACAACCAATTTATTCATTAAATCAACATCAAGCTGCTGTAAAAGCACTTGCATGGTGTCCTTGGCAGAATAATATTCTTGCTAGTGGAGGTGGTACTGCTGATAGAACTATACGATTTTGGAATTGTAATACAGGTGAAGAAAGCATCAATTGTGTATATTCATTGTACACAGTAAAACCAACAGTAATAACAATTCTAATGAAATCAAAAATCTTTTTACAAATATTTATTCAACAGGTGCATGTTTAAATATGGTAGATACGAAGTCACAAGTATGTTCTTTGCTTTGGTCTACAACATATAAGGAGATTGTATCTGGTCATGGATATGCACAGAATCAGTTAACAATCTGGAAATACCCCGCAATGACGAAGGTCGCAGAACTTACAGGTCATTCTAGTCGCGTTCTACATTTAGCAATGTCTCCAGATGGTACTACAATACTTAGTGCAGGAGCTGATGAAACCTTAAGATTATGGAAATGTTTCCTACCTGATCCACACAAGAAGAAAGATACGAATGAAATAAAATCTGTTGCGTCTAGACTTAAGCAATCGATTCGATAATATTTTTATACTAACAGACGAAGTAATTTACTTCTATATATTACTTCTTAATCAAATAAATGACTAATAACTCGTATTTTAATAAATGTGAAAATTAGTGATATAATTTTTTATGTTATTATTTATTTTTTTATTAATATATTTAAAATAAAAAATCAATATTCATATCTTAAAATCCCGTCGCAAAATGGTTGTTACCCACGTGTATTTATGTATAGACGGCGACTCCATTATTTAGACGAATTATGGATAGAAATCAAAATGGCGTCAAAGTAAGGTGTAAAATACGCTAAAAAGCTCAACTTTACATATATATAACTTTGGACCTGTAGATTCTTAAAATTAAGACTTGCATTTTTAGATTCTATGCATTGAAAACTATCATAATATATAATAAAAGTCAATAACTTTATGTTCTCTAAACTGAAATAAAGGCAAAGTAAATTTGAACCGAGTATCTGAAATAAGTATCGAAATATTTTTAAATTAGAGATTTAGTTTAGTTTATTTTTCTTCCTTCGGGTCAGTAATTGAAAAAAGCATAACACTGAAAAGAACTTCTTGCCTTTATCTTTTGGCATCTCTTCCTTCTTTTTTTTGGTATCTTTTTACCCTTTTTCTTTGTCTTTGGTTGATTTATAGTTTTAAGTGGCTTCCGAATCATCATAAACCGCGTTAAAAATAAGCACAATACAACTACGAAGAAATGGAGTTGCAGAAGTGCCAGTTGAAAATCGACCGGAACTCGGATTCAAACTGCGGTGAAGGGCCGAGAAGTGAAGAGTGAGAGCTACTCGGTTACGAGTTACGAATCCAAAGCTCCAGCCTCTGCCCAGTTCCAGCTAACCGTGTTAGCACGGTTCTTTTAATTTATATGTTGTTTTTGTAAAAACATTTGACATGAAATGAAATAAATAACATTGTTGGAATTTTTATTCTTTTTAATTAGACTGTAAAAAATTGGCAAAAGGAAAAATATAGTAAATAATAAACTCTTTTATTTAATTTATTCTCACATTATGTACTTCCTAAATTCTTTCTACTGCTAGGTAAAGATGAAAGTTGTAGTAAATCTCCCCACCTTTCGAGTGCCGACGCCGACATTAAACTTTACAGATCACCTCTTCAAGAAAATGATTTAATTAAACAAGATATAGGTAGTTTGTGTTAAAATAGAATATAGCGATAGTTTAGATACCTTCTCTTTAAAACTTAATATTAAAGCGTTAATATAATTTCTTTTTTATCAAATAAATTTAAATATAGTATATAAGCTATTGTATAAACAGAGAGGAAATACTAAAGATTTAACAACAGTTTTCTTGGTAAACCTGCCCTGAAAACATTTTCACTATATAAATCTTCATAATTGGTTTTAAAAGAAATGGATGAAGGAAATTCTAAGACTGTGTCATTGAAATCACAATGTAAATATATTGATCAAATGTTTTCTTCAGAAAATGTGAAAGATGATAATGAACATGATTGGTGGGCAAGTGATAGTGGATCAAGTACTGGTTCATACTATTCAGATACAGATAGGTAACTAACTTTTTAGCCGTTTTTATATTATTAGAATATACCATTATTATGCAATTTTACAATTGTTATAAATTGTTATATGTAGTTCCACAGCAGAATGGGAATCAGAAATTAATCCTAATGGAGAACTAATTTATATAGAATCTCTAGTAGACAATATAAATGATGAACAATTTTCATTCAATGAAACAAAACTTGATTCTCAGCCAGAATTGATACGACGACGTAGTACTAGAGCTGGAAAACTTATGCGACTTATAAGACGTAAGGAGAGTAAACGTTTGAGCACAAGAAATAAAAAAGGCAATTTCAATATCACAGTAAACAATATTGGAAATTCGGGAAAAGATGGAACTACAATTAAAGAAGTCACTTTTAGAGATTTTCAAGTAAATGATTGCAATTAAAATTTGAGCATTCCCAATAATAATAATAATATACTTTATATAAAAATTTATTTTGTGAATTTTGCAGGCAGGTGAAATTCGCGAAGTTATACTATGGGTTGATCCAGATAGACGACATAAACTGGGAAGAAGAGCCACATTGTGTGAAGCATATTTTGGAATTATCCCAGGTGTTTTTTCAGATAAAACACGTATCATGGTTGCTGGATTTATACCAGATGGAGAAGCAATGAAAAATAAAAATATTAAAATTGGAGATTGGCTACGAAGTGTGAATTCAAATAATGTTACATATCAAAATTTGGATCACATATTATCTGAAATAACTGTTTCAACAAATGTAAGAATTAAAATCTAGTACATATTATAAATTTATATTGTTATTATCTTGTGAAAATATAAAATACTTTATCATAATTAATTTTCATTTTTTGTTTAGGTAACATTAGAATTACAAAGAGTTGCAGGTGTTGATGTTACAGCAACATTGTCTGGATTGAATTGTCCTAAAGTAATTACAATTTTAGATAATATATATATAATTTAGAGAATTTATAGAACTAAAAGCATGATGTTTTCTGTCATTAGCAATCTGTATTGGTACAAAGACTGTTGAATAAAGAGGAAAGTAAAGATTTAATGCATTCAATAGTAGATTATCCACTTGGTGTATTATATCTACAAACCACAGAACTTTCAGAAGTGGGACCTGAACTACAAGGTGTTTTATATGCATTTCCTCGGTCCGAAAGCAAAAATATGCATTCTATTTTGTGCACAGCAAGAGGAGCTTTTATAACCCTTAATCATTTATTACCAGGAATTGGAGGCCTACAACCTACAAGGTATAATTGAATGGTTTTATTACTCCATATAAATACATAATCTTTATAACATATATGCAATCATATTTTATAGTACAACTTTTATAGTACAACAATACAGATAGCAGAAGAGGAAATTCATGTTGTATACACACCTCGAAATGATGAACTATTTTTAATGGCATTACCAAAAAAATGGTAGACTATAATTTATATAAGAATAAATAAATATAAATATACATATGTATTCGGTTTAAATTGTTTTTAATATTTCTAGTTGTAGCCTTGAAGAAGCTGTCAATTTATCATGTGATATAGTGAGAACATTAGAATTTGCATATCAGTCGCTGAAAAAATGTTTCACACCTGAAGAAACTCATCCTTCTTTAGATCATTTCTTTATTTTAGTTATTGAACGATTGTTAGACATAAAGAGTTATGCAAACAATGCAGGATTAACCACCTCATGTATGGAAATTCATAATGATATTGAAAGTATGGAAAGTTACAAATTTACAAGCACCTTTTCAGTTGCAAATTTTATAGAGTTATCAAGAGATGCACAAATTCAAATTGATGCAGCTTTAAGTGAAATGGAAGCTATGGATTACAGAGATTGGGTATGTATTGTATAATGAAATAATAAGAGAAAATAAATAATGATGAAAAATAATATTATGCTTTCAGAATGAAGATCCTATGGACTGTCAAAGGTTATATACAATTTTGGGTAGTTGTATTTATCATAAACATTATCTTCTTGGATCTCATTTAACACACAGTGATTTAATTGAAGTAGAATCTTATCTTAGGCAAAATTGTATTTTAAATTTGATAAATAACGAACCTGTAAAGAGTCTTGTTATTTGGAAAAAAGTATATCCTTCTTCATGTAATCGTAACGATATAGAAAACAAAAATAATCAACCATTTGTTCTCAATGGAAAATGGTACTTACTCGTTGTTGGTTATGGACATGATTTATTAGCAGTTCTTCTAGAATCTGGTGGATGTACTGCAAAGTAATTTTTTATAGCTTCTATTATACTTTTTATTGACTTAGTTATTCTCTTAAAACTTTTGTATGCATCATTTAAAAATGTTTCTATAGATGCAGCGAAACTATAGGTCCAGATATATTTTATGTAGAAGAAGCTCAGGAGACTTTAAAGCATATACAAAAAATAGGGGTAACAACATTAGCAGCTAAATGGATTTCATCAAATACTAGACCTGAAGTAATAACTTATGAAGATCCTGTGCCTGTAAAACCATCATCTAGTATCGCTGAGAATATTTTAGGTCTCATAAAATCAACAGATGTGCAAAATTTATCTGTCAAACCACCTCATACTTTAAGTATTAACAAAAGATCTCAAGAAATACCTTCAATTCTAAAAAAACGTAATACAGAAGAATGTCCTGTAATTTTAGGATCAGGTAAATAAAATTATTTGTTTTTATTATTTTCGATTATGTAGTATACATATAGTATACATGTAATAATATGTACATGTAATATAAATTAAAAAAAAATACAATTTTATCTTACTTTAGTATACTCTTTGCATACGTCAGAGGATTCATTAAGTCAAGGAACTGGTGGAATTAGTGAAATAAGCGATGAAGCATTGCCTATATTAGGAAGACGAGCAACAAGAGAGAAAATTGTTAGTAGATCAAGATATTCTGATGATAGCGATTCTGATCTTGATGTGTATAAGGTAATCAATATAATAAATTTATTAAAATATTTGTTCTCCATTATTCTGTTATCTTAGACAATTTACATGAAGTATATTATTGTAGAATGATTGTCGAATGTTAAATATGGACATATCTAATATAAGAGAAAATTTATTAAATCAAGCTGAATATTTAGTACCAAAAGTATTGACAGTGGGTGATAAGAATTATTTATATCATTATATACACTTGGACATGATTGAAGGAATTCTTCTATCCTCAAACCCACTAGAACATTTAGCAAAAAATCCTAATTTCCTTATTAATTTTAATAAATGTGTTCATATTATTCATAAATTGCTACATAATACAGTAAGATTTAAAACTATGTTAAACTCAGATGTGGACAAAACTGTCATTAATAAGAGTTTAATTGCTGTTAAGGAGCATGGAGTGTTATTTGAATGGGAAAATTTAACTTATTGGGTTGTTGGTCGATTATATACAACTCCCCATCCAAAGGAGTTGTATGTATGTTATCAGGATTCTGCACCACAAAATTTAATTGAAATAGCATTTAAATTACATTCATTACACACGCTAACATAAGTTTTAGTCCTTTTAAAATGTCATTTCTTAAAATTTTTAAAAATCAATAACATTTTACTATTTTATTAATGTTAAATATTTGATTTAAAAAAGACAAATTTTTTCTTCTTTAGATATTTTAATTGTTTTTTTATTCATATATCTTAAGAGATTTTAAAAAATATAGAGCATTAAATACTTTTATTTTTTATAATTATGCAACATTTATAAAATATAATATTACATGTACATATATATCATTTATGTAAGTTTGCACAAAATATTAATCATTATAATCATTATATTATACAACATTATATATTATATATGCTTAAAATTCATGTTACATTGTAATTTTTATATACAGTTTAATAAATATTCTTAATAACTCAATGATAAGATATACAAATATTTATAACGAAATGTACTTTGAATAATATAAATATTTTGAAAATAGTTTCTAATCGTATGAACATGATTCATATTTTTAATAAAAATTTACTTCAATTTCATTCAATAACATATTCTGCATTATATTTTATTAGTCCACATTAGGTGATATATTGATTTATTCATTTTTGTGAAGTTGACAAGTAGGAATTTTCACATATACACATGCGCCTGCCATTTTACTACCATAGTGTCCAGCCCAAAATAATTTATCAGCACCACCATGATAGAAAGAAATTTTTCTGAGTCCAGGTCCATAGTTTTTAAACTCATGTGACATCTGAAGTAAAATGTAAATGTATTTTATTATTTCTACAACATTTTATATTTATATTATATGTATAAAATATACCTGGTGCCACTGATTTTGTTTTTCCCCTTCAATACTATCACGAAAGTGAAAAAGGTCTATGACACTATTATTTTTCCCTAATAATTTGATAGCACATTCATATATAGCTGGACAATCCCAACGACAACTGTACCATTCACTCACCTATAAACATAAATATAAATAATAATATAGGTAATGTTTCCTACAAAAGTTTACATTAAGTACAATTAAAATTTTGTAATACCACTATTATAGGCTGTAACTCATCTAGAATATATGGTGTCAATCCTTCGACTTCTAGGTCAATTATTTGTGCTTTAGTGCAACTTTGGTGAGAAGTAACAAAACAGAATTGTTTTCCTTCAAAAATAAGTTCGTTATTTGGCAAAGGTGGAACTCCCACTGGAGGATTTTCTACTTTCCAACAATCACCACCTTCACTAAGAATTTTCCAATACTTATCCCTTCCACATTCTCCAGAATGATTTTTCACTAAGTTTCTTTCAAAAGGTTTCTTTTTACACATCAGATAATACACATGCCAGGGCACTTCTTTATACAAAAGAAGTGATCGACCGAAAGAAATTTCTGCTTTTTTACGCCAAACGTAAGTTTGAATTAAAATTTTCCAAAGTTTGCAAACCAATTGACAATTTAATAATGATTTATAATCAACATAACAAAAAATTTCTGCTAATAATTCTTCTGGTAAATATTTTCCACCAAGAACTAATCCATTATCACTTTTTTCATCGTACATCACGCGAGTATTCATACCACTGCCATGAAACTGTCCCATTTTTATTTAGGAATAAATAATAATTGTTTTGATAAATAATATAGTAAAACTATTGATATTAATTTTCGGAAGAATATTTTCTGCCTTTTATTTGTACAATTTTGATGTTTAGAATAATTTTAAAATTTAAGAATGTAAATAGAACTTAAAAAATTACATATGCTTCTTCAAATATGAGTTATTTACATAACCTTCTCGAACTGCTTTAATGAAACTATTGACTGGACTTGGATTGTTTTAATAAAACTATCACTTACATTTATCAGTTTTGTTATTTCAATCAAAACGATAAAAAAGTTAAGAATTTATACAAGTTTCAATATTGAAGTCAAATCCAATTAATAGTAATGATTCATTTATGAATCATTACAAACTAAGTATATGCGTAATTGTAGTAGTAATATGTTTATGTAAACAATTTTGACATCATTATACAATTTAAGGAAGGTAAAAAATTCAATTAGTTTACATAACTATTTATAATAAAATTTTAAAACTGTAAAAATTATAAAAATTACTTAGAAGACAAAAATGGGATTATATATATGTGTTAACTCAGGTAAACAATTGACAAGGTAGTGCATTATAATAGATGTTTTATTTCATTTAGAGTAATATATTTGATGTCAATATGCAAATCATTTAATTCAAAGTATTTAAAGAAAATAGGTACGTGGTTTTCGAACACTGAAAAGTGGCATACGATTCCTATGATGAATACGTTTTGGCAATGGGAATTTAATTTTCGAATCGTGGAATTGTTTGACTTGAGGTCTTCTACAATTTGCCGCTTTTACAACTTCGACTTTAATGATCTGAATTGAATGAGCACGGGCACGATGACGAGCTCCCATATCTCTGTAGCATTGCGTTACAGCACCACTGACAGAGAGATCTCTATATTCTCTATACATATTATGAGTTCCAGACCTTGAGTCATATCTTAACCAAATTCCAAAATTCTTGATTTTGACTGGAGATTTTTCTGGTATCTGAAAGATAATATATTTAGGATAAAATATTTAATAAAAGCTTTGTATTAGTGTTCAATATATGTAACAATTACCTGTTTCAAAGAAACAATTTCTCCCGTAGATTTCTTAAATTTTTTGAGTTGGCGTAAAAAATACCAAAATCTAGATTTTGCGACGATAGCATCAGGTGCAAATATTCTCATTTTATACAGCGGTGTAGTTGTCTCTTTTTCGGTCGGTAACTTACGACCGATTACTTCAAACTCCTTCAACTGTACAAAGAATGTTGTAGAGAGATTATTTCTAATATGTATACAATTTTATTTAGTATCTATACACTTGTTTCTTGTATATACAATTGTTTCTTTCCTTTTTCTTAATTCAGTTTAAATTAAATTAAATGCTTTAAAGCCAATTTCTTTCACATATATTGTATATGGAGATGAAAATATAAATTATTCTACGCTGATATCTACCGTATTTTGTACTTCAATTTAACAAAATATAAAAATTATTAAAGCTTTAAATCATACATGAACATGTGTTAGCGACCATAAAGTGTTAGGTTAGTCACTGTTAATATGTCATCTAATTATCACTTTTATAATTTTGAATAAACTATTACAATTTACAAAATATAGATATTAAAGAGGATTTTCCTTAAGTGGCAAATTTAGTTTTCAAAGATAATTTTAAATATTTACTTACTTCACCCTTGGCTTTCATTTTGCTGTGCGTACAACACGATGATAAACCGGAAAAAGATCAAGGGATTTTTGGTTACTTCGGAAACGGAACCATTTAATTTTCTAGTGAAATATGATTTAACCATAGACAAAATGTAGTATAGATTGTAGACTTAATAATCTTGTACAATCTGATCTATTCATCTCGAATACAATTTCGTATGCTTTTATACTATACCAAAGTAAAACTAACTGTTGCAATATTATATATATAATCTTATTATTACAAGAGATTTGCTGAGTAATTAAATACTATTATATTATTAAATAATGTTTTATTGAATGTTTTATGTAATAAAATTAACTTTGATTAAATTTCTTTTATATTTCACCATAAATAGATGCTTGTTCAACAGCAAAAGTATTCACATAATATACATTTGTGTACATAAATAAATTATATTTATATTATACAAATTTTTGATAGTTTATTCATTTAAATTTAATATTTATCAATGAACTCGAATTGCACATGGAATGTTGTCTGGCTTATGTTCGACCGTCGGTATATTCAATCGATGAAAGACATGTAATATGTCTTTTACAAACTGATCCATCATAGATAGAGTATGTTTTGGAGTTGGGGCAAGTCTTAATTTTTCTTCACCCTTTGGAACAGTTGGATAATTGATGGCTTGAACATAATGCCCCTTATCTTTTATTAATAAATCAGCTAATTGACTACATAATAATGGATCTCCAATCTGAAAGACAATTGTAATTTAATGTAATAATATTAATAATGCGTAGAAAACCTAATATAAAGGAAATTTACTTTTATCGGTATAATGTGAGAAGGTGATTGTTCTAATGGAAGACCTGCAGCTGTTAAAATAGATTTCATATAAGCTACATTTTTTTGATGACTAGCCCTTAATGATCTTCCTTCATCTGAAGTTAAAATTTCAACAGCTGTTAAGGTACCATATAGTACTGTTGGTGGTAATGAGGTCGTAAAAATAAAACCTGCTGCATAACTTCGTATCATATCTATTAATTTAGTGGATCCAACAATGTAACCACCCATATTGCCAAAAGCTTTTCCCAAGGTACCAGATATAATATCCATTTTATGAAGCACCCAATCTCTCTCTCCAATGCCAGCACCTGAATAGCCATATAATCCAACAGCATGAACTTCATCAACAAATGTTAAAGCATTGTATTTATGTGCAATATCACATAAGTCTTCTAAAGGACATATATCACCAGTCATAGAATGTACTGTTTCAAATGCTACAATTTTTGGTACAGTTTTGTCTACTTTGGAAAGTAATTCTTCAAGATGTTTTACATCATTATGCCTAAAAATATGTTTTGGTACTCCGCTATTTCTTATACCCTGAATCATGGATGCATGATTTCCAGCATCGGAGAAGATGTGACAATGTGGTAAAAGCTTTGCTAAAGTATATAAGGTGGAGTCATTAGCAACAAAACAAGAGGTAAATAATAAGCCAGCTTCTTTCTGATGCAAAGAAGCTAGTCTTTTTTCTAAGATCTCGTGCCCTATGGAATTTCCGGATATATTTCTAGTTCCTCCTGCTCCTGCACCAAATTTATTCAATGCTTCTCGAACAGAATTTGTCACTGCTGGATGTCGTGACATCCCTAAATAATCATTAGAACACCAAACAGTGATAGGTTTCTCACCCCAAGAATATTCTATTCCAATTGGGAAACTTTCTGCTAAACGATTAACTTTTTTAAACACTCTATAAGAATGGTCTTTTTTCTTTTTCATAATTTGTTCATGAAAAAATTCTTCATATGGAAAGCTTCCTTTTTCCTTTGATTCTAAAGGTGATACATTGATAATATCTTCCTCAACTATAGGACTAGCTACTTTTACAGCATTTTGTTCTTTAGCAAGAAATGGACATTGACCATTTATAGCTTTTTCAATCTGTTCAGACTCAGTACTATTTACTTGAGTGCTAAAAAATTGAGACATCACTGGACAAAGCTGACGGTAGTTCATAATTACAGAAGCTCCATAATTACGAATGTAATTTGCAGAAAGATGTGTCAAAAATGGACAGGGCATGTTTTTTAAGTTGCCTAAAACATATAAAATCGAAATATATATGGTATAAAGGTTACACATAATATTATTGTTAATTGACATATATTTTAAAAAATTATGTAATAAATGCGATTGTTTAAATGATAAAGAATTATTTCGCTTAAATAAAGAAGGTATCGAGGTCAGTTGTATAAAAAATAAAGTCGATGAAAGAAAAAGTGAAACTACAAGTCATGATGATACGACATTTCAAAAGTCAAAAATGTGTTACCTGTTATAACACTGGATAAATGATACACGTTGACGTAATGGATATATTGCCGAACAAACTGAAATATAAAAAATTTAATACATTTAATTATCAAGGTGAGAGAAACTTGAATACTGTGATTGATAATCAAATAAACTCAATTTTATGAAAAAATTGGATAGTAGATCTAAAACCTATCACACCGACAGGTAGGCACTAAATGTATGGTATACATATTAATGCAGGTGGAGGGTAGGGATAAGTTACGAAGTCAGAATCACGGTCGTATTGTCATATACCAGAGCTGGAAACTCCGTTGGTGGGAGTATGGCTCTTGTGTGTTGGAGATGTTTCTCAAATAAGACGCTTCAGTTGATTTCGTAGGCTTTATCGTGTAGCGCGCTCTGTGTTTGCAATCTACAATACGATCGTGTTTACAACTAAACTCTACCCTATTATGTAAATCTACATTTATTTGAACAACATTTTTCTGTAACACATACAATACTGTATGTTTACTTTAAGTACATTGAAAAAAGTTATGAAAAACAGTTTAGTTTATGCCTGCTTTACCTTCAGAGGCAAAGGTGGCGCTAAATGTAAAAATCTAACAAATCCACTGCAGCGCTATAGTTACGACCAATTTATGAAGCACACCTTTGGAAGTTAAAAGCCTTACCCCCTCTACTGGAGTTTCTTCCCCGTGATTACATCTGTATAAGTCTATGCTCACGATTAAAGATAACTAGGTCATAACCCCAAGCTAGTCATCTCTGTCACAACATAAAATTACAACTATAGAGATATAAAGATAGAAGCTGACATGAGAGCTGAAAAAGCAGTATTGGAATAAAAAGCGAACGCTACATAGAGGCCCCTTCTGTCCTTGTCTAATCAGGTATGCACAATGGCGCTAGTTGATCGGCGTTAGACTGTACATACTACTGTACAAGTGTGCATGCGTTATTAGACAAGGACAGAAGGGGCCTCTATACAGCATTCCCTTTCTACTCCAATATCGCATTTACTTACATGGTATCATATGACTCGACTACTCTATCCTTACATTTCTATGTAACTTGCAGCTTGCAATACTCGCAATTGATGTATTAGTTTTGCGAAGTTCGCTTATTAACAGTCTCAAAAAGATTGGGTCGATTCGAGCGATCGGACGATATCGAATTTGTTATGCGTAGGGCTACTTCCATTAATCTTTGAAAAATTGTCATGCGCAATTAGGTGATAAATCATTAATTTCATTATGATTTTGAAATGAAATGAATCAATTATCAAATACTGTTATCAATTTATTTTCCAGGATATAAACATCAGTACCGTATAATTGCTTAGTTGAGAAAACTGATATGCAAGGGAACATTTAGTAATTCATTCACAACATTTATCAACAAGGTACGAATCTTACACGGAATATTTAACGATCAATTCAATTTAATAACAGACATAATGTATTATAGAGAAAGATATCAAATCCATTCAAGTTTTTCTTTCCATTTGATTTTTACTTATATTAATTACTTGTATTAAGTATTAAAAGTTTTAATAAAATGTATAAATATTTGAATATGATGAATGCATAGAACATTAAATTTTATTGCAATAATGTCGCAAACACTTACCATAATGCATGCTAATCGATATCTGTAGCGTTAGTTAAATAGGAAAGATAAATAAAATTCTCGTCTTCCTAATATTTTGTAACACAAGATAACACAGCGTCTTTGCAACTAACCAAATTATGCTTTTGTTTCCCGTATCCCCGTTTTGGTTACATAAGGCTTTTCCTTTTCATTCTGCAAATTCATGTTCACGCTAGACACAGACAAACGACCAATCACTATCGTTTAAAGGATTATTACAATTCCATTCATATTCAATAAGTTTGTACGTCAAAATATGCTTTATTGCGGCTACATATATAACACTACTACAAATGCATACGCGCATTTCCACATATAATTAATTATTTAACGTTAACCAAATCAATAAATATCATTGTATCCTAAGAAAACATAGCAATAGCAACACACTTGATGTCTTTTTATATTACTTTGTCATTTTTTATATATTTGTTTTATTCATTTTTTATGTATATTTTATCTTTGATCATAACAATGTTAACAAACTCTTTTGTATTAAGAATCATTTCTTATCGCTGTCCGAAATTCTATATGCTAGATTTTTTGTATTATTATAATTATAGTTATTGTTAATACGATAATATTATGTAAGTGACTTTTCAATGTTTTGCAATAGCAACATGTCTGTTAATATTGTATAAGCAAATATCGCGCTTTGTAGTAATGGATAACTCAAGTGACAAAACATAATATATTCTTCACTTTGTAATCATTTTATCCGAAATTCTGTGTAAAATGATAAGTTTTGATAAGTAATATATCAATATATATATGATAAGTTTTGATAAGTAATATGAAAAATACATTGATCTGTGTGCTTAAACATTGTCACGATTAGATTATTATGTAATCTGAGATACTCCTTTACGTTTTTATTGTTGCACAAGTCTTTTTTTAGTCCGACATTTTATTCGGAATTTTACGTACATATATGTGTAATGATAAAAAGCTTTTTGTTAATTCAAACCGCTTGTAATCGATTTTTAGTATCTCGTAATTAGTTTAATTTAAATAAATAACTTCTTTAAATCAAATGTCCCCAAAATCAATATTTTGTTGTCATCAACATGTATGTTTATTTTTATTGTTTATCTATTTCACATAGAATAATTATAAATTTTTATACACAATATACGCTATACACAAATAAAATTGTTACATTTTATTATTTCAACTATAGAAGTATATATTACTACAAAATAATTTTCAATTAAGAAATTAAGTGATGTAAAATATGAACCACGATTTTTTAAAATTTTAATTTGACTCTTGTTTTAACAGCCATTGTTTGAAAAAGCCACGGGCAATGATCCTATTTAGTTCACGCTGATTACTCTAGAGGGATCTGAGATTACCATTTTTCAATGTATTTAAATTTAGAACCGAATTTTTCATATATAATTGATAAATGTCATGATTTAAAGTTAATATGTATCAAGTTTTTAATATCGATACTCCAGTACTAGTATTAGTGTTGTGATATTTCGACAAAATAAATTCATTTTAAATTTAATTATTGCATATCATTACTAATTTATTTCTTATGTTATGATTATTACCAGTATTGTTGCTATACTTAAATTAAATAAATAATTAAATTATATAAGACATGTATTCAAGCGGTCGTATTAATGTTAAAATATATTTACGTTAAACATCATGGTTTATATTTAAAGTAGATCATCCCGTGACGGAAGAGATTCTTTGCAATGATACTGTTATAAATTCTTTTTCAGTTTTCCCCACCAAAGCGAACGTCGACGAAATACATTTTGTTACTGTGAGTTGTTCGGAATCTTGCCTTAGTCGAGTGTGTAGGTGTCGGATCTTGTGTAAAGGAAATATATCACACACATTCAGAAGCAACGGCCAATCAGAACACGACAGCACTGCGTGGCTACCCTAACTTATAACAAAAGCCACGTCTTCGACAGGCAGTGTCTTTAGAAGAAAGATTGCGTTCCGAATTTGATTTAGAAACAAGTACTGTTGTCCACAATGTTGCTCAAGTATTTTACCTTCCTTTCCTTGATCTTCGTTAATGTCTTGGCTGAAGAAAAAGATGTGGTGGAACTTACCGATGATACTTTTAGCCATGAATTAGAGCGGCTTGAGAACACGCTTGTTATGTTTTATGCACCATGGTAAGTAGTTTCTTTTACGATAATTGTATAGAAACAAAAATAATTTTATTGTTTTATTGTTCTATTGTTCCAACTGTAATTGTAAGAAAATTGATCAAGGGAAGTATTTTCTAAGTTCCGATTTCGATAATTTCAAGTATACCGGCTTATGACACGTTAATAGTTGAGAATGTGTTACATTTGAAATTCTTATTCTTGTTTCTATATAAAGGAACTGTTATTATTTTAACTTGTACGACTTCTGTGAATATAAAAATAATTTAATTTTACACTTGAAACTAATTTTTTACCTATGTGAATACCAAATGCTCAGGTGTGGTCATTGCAAACGATTAAAACCAGAATATGCAAAAGCTGCTGAAATGCTCTTGGGTAATGATCCTCCAATTACTCTTGCCAAAGTAGATTGCACAGAAAGTGGAAAGGATAGCTGCAACAAATACTCAGTTAGTGGTTATCCAACATTGAAAATCTTTTCTAGAGGTGATTTTGTTAGCGATTACAATGGACCTAGAGAAGCTGCTGGTATTGCCAAATATATGAAGGTAAATAGGATTTTGATATATACAAATTATTTAATCATCTCATATAAGTACCTATGATGTATTCTAGGCACAAGTTGGTCCAGCATCTAAAGAATTAAGTGGAGAAACTTGTTTAAAATCATTCTTAGACTCTGATGAAGTAAGCGTTGTAGGTTTCTTTGAAAAGGAAGACTCAGCCTTAGCGACATCCTTCCATGCTGTTTCTAAGAAACTTAAAGAAAAAGTTAGATTTGCACATACAACAGCAAAATCACTTTTAGAGAAAGAAGGACATAAGTAATTTATTTACATTGTCATAAATTTACTTTAAGACTAAAATTACACATAAAATAAAATATATTTTCTTGATTTTTAGGAATGCTATAGTTCTATATAGACCAAAAATTTTGCAGAACAAATTTGAATCAAACACTGTGAAATATGTAGAGTCTATGGGTGACATTCAAGAATTCATTAATAAAAATTAGTAAGTTTCACGAATATTTGTTTTACTAATACGATATTTAAATCATAAGTATCGTTTTTAATTAAATGTGTATTCCAGCTTTGGTATTGCGGGCGTTCGTACCCGGGATAATGAAAGAGAGTTTAAAAATCCATTAGTTGTTGCATACTATGCAGTGGATTATGTTAAGAATCCGAAGGGTACAAACTACTGGCGTAATAGAATCATCAAAGTTGCCAAGGACTTCCCCAAGTTAAATTTCGCTATTTCTTCCAAAGATGACTTCCAGCACGAATTAAACGATTTTGGAATTGATTTTGTTAAGGGTGATAAACCTGTTGTTTTAGCAAGAAATGCTAATAACCAAAAGTTTGTTATGAAGGATGAATTTTCTGTCGATACATTTGAGGCATTCTTAAAAGATATAGAAGCTGGCACGCTAGAACCATATCTAAAATCTGAACCAATACCTGAAGATAACACTGGAAATGTTAAAATTGGAGTAGCCCGAAACTTCGATGAAATTGTTACAAACAATAACAAAGATACATTAATTGAATTTTATGCACCTTGGTGCGGTCATTGCAAGAAACTGGCACCTATTTACGATGAATTAGGTGAGAAACTTGCGACCGAAGATATCGAGATTGTGAAGTTTGATGCCACTGCTAATGATGTTCCTGCCCCGTACGAAGTTCGAGGATTTCCAACACTTTATTGGGCGCCCAAAAACTCCAAGAATAATCCAGTAAAATATGAAGGTGGCAGGGAGCTTGATGATTTCATCAAGTATATTGCTAAGCACGCGACCAATGAATTAAAAGGATTTGATCGTAAGGGAAAGACTGTTAAGCCGAAAAGTGATGAATTGTAAATTTTTTCACATTAAGATGTGGAGTTGTTTATTACAATTTTTACGTAAGTCTCAGCAACAAAGCTTGGGGTGAAATTTTCCTTGTACGATTTATAAGTGTGAAAAAAGTGGCATGTAGTTAAAAACGTAAAAGCTAAAAATTTTATGAATGAAAGAAATTAAAGACATTTGGTAATATGACTGCATTTATTTTACAAAGTATTTGAAAAACAAAGTGAAAAAGTATAATTAGAATAGGATTGTCTATATATATTATGTAACTTTATAATGTTGTATATCATGTAAAACTATGCAGAACTGATTTAGAATTATGATGTCAATATTTTCCAGATTTAACAAATTATGTCTAAGATTCAATTTTCCATTCCATTTTTCATATATATCTGATTATAATAAGTTGAAATTAATACATTACTTTTTCATTTATATCCAAAATAAAATAAATTTTTTTTATACAGTTTTGTGCATTGAAAAACTATATTTCTATTCTTTAAGTTTAAAAAAGATTCCTGATACGTACGTGATATTTTAAGAAATATTTAAAATAAAGAAAAAATCTTATTCAATAAAATTGTAAATGAAGATTCACTTTATAAGTGATATATTTTATACATTCATGAACCTTCACAGATTCCTTGTAAATTCTAAGAAATATCCTACTGCTTGAATTTTGTATATTTAAATTTACAGATATTGAACTGCTTTAGGAGTAATAGTTCACAAGCATTGATTAGTAATTTTTATTGTTAATTACAATTTATTATAGTAATCATGGAGTAAATATCTTATATTAAGGCTAATTAACTATAGAGCGGTCTCTTAAAACTCAAAAAACTTATCCTGGCTTCACTCTCCTAATCGTAAAAAATTTTTTTCTCCCTTTAAAATTATACTAAAAAAGTGCTACATACAGATGATTGAGTTTTCTCCTGGAAGTAACTTTTTCAATTAGCTACTGATACGACGAATTATAACGTCGTAAAACTATTTATAAAGAATTGTGAAGATGTAGAAAACAGTATTCAGTATTCTTTCTTTTTCCGTATGTGTCTTAAGTATACAAGTACTTATGTCCTTTTGATCCTCGAAGTCAAAGTGATACGTTTATTATATATATATTTGTTCGTAACATTATGGTAAGAAAATAAGGTAAAGCGATACGTACTTTTATTGTTGTTTTATACCATGAAATAGACAAAAAAATGCTTTAAAAAATCACGGGACATTCATGAAGGCATAATATCTCATCTATTCCAAGAATGGTGACATTTTATATACAATCTTTAATCCTATATGGACCAAACATATAGACCAACAAAAGAGTTCTTTATCGCTCTCTTTACGTAGATAATAATAAATTTAATAGATACTATGATATATCTGAAATGTTACTATTTTAACCCTTGTTAAACATAGAAATTTAAATTTTTTAATCTTATCTCACAACTTTGTGCACGTAACAATAACCTTTTCTTTAGAAAGATGTAATTACGAATTTATTCATCTTTTTTTGTTTCATTAAAGCATATTACCCAAAACTCAGTCTTAATAATTTTTGTATAACAATATCTGAAAATCATTTTATTCTGATAAGGATCAAAACGATAAGTAACTTCTATGATAACAGTTAATATATTGATATATCTTGTAACTCATAGCATATCCTCATAAAAACTGCAGTAGTGTTTGTACAAATTCTTAGTAATTTATTTCATTTAAAACACGATCGCACTTATTGCAACATTAGAGAGAGTCCATAAAGGATTAACTGATACAATCGTAATTAACAGTACATTCTTTGCAAATTATTATAAAAGAACACTTGCAAATTTTGCAACGGATTTTAATTTGCATATATTGTATATATTGTGGGCGTATTTTGTGGTAGTTTTTCTTTTTTTTTATAGACTTGTTTTATTGTGTAAAATAATTGAAGATAAGTTGTTGTTGTTATATTATAGTTTCCGCTGGGGGCTTCCGGCATAACAACTAGCTTCATTGCAACTAGCAATTCCATTAGTGTTGTCTCATTATCGGTGACAGTTCAAGAATTATAGGAGCCAACATCTTCCCTTTTTCTTCTTTTTTACCTACGAACTCACATAGTTTTTATAATAACGTCTGATCAATTTATATTCAATTTCATGCAAACCTGTAATGAATAATGCTTACTTGTAGCGCTGCCCGAGTGGCTGTTTCAAACACTTCCCTAATACCTTCCTTACTCTTAGCAGAACATTCAAGATAAGCAAAAGCATTGATTTTTTCAGCCATAGCTCTACCTTCTTCTGGTTTAACTGGTTCTTGTTTCATCTTGCTAAGCTCTTTGATGGTATTAGGATCATTGCGCAAGTCTTTTTTATTTCCAACAAGGATAATGGGCACATTTGGGCAAAAGTGCTTCACCTCTGGTGTCCACTTCTCAGGAATGTTCTCCAAGGAGTCGGGACTATCGATAGAGAAACACATTAGGATTACATCTGTGTCAGGATATGACAATGGGCGCAACCTATCGTAATCTTCTTGCCCAGCTGTGTCCCAAAGAGCCAGTTCAACCTGTTATAGGAAATGTTCTTTTAATATATTTGGAAAAAAATACAAAAATATTAAATATGTGAAACAATTTCTTGTAGCACTTACCTGCTTTCCATCAACCTCAATGTCTGCAACATAGTTTTCAAACACTGTAGGTACATAAACTTCAGGAAACTGATCTTTGCTGAAGACTATGAGTAAGCATGTTTTACCACAAGCACCATCACCCACGATAACCAATTTCTTCCTAATGGCTGCCATGAATTCTAAAATGTAAATCATTAAATACTCCTTTATTAGTACTCTAATATAACCTGCATTATTAAAATTTTAATTTTATGCATATAACTTTAATCTCTTTAAAATATATTAATGCAGAAAATAAAAATATAACATCCACTTCACATCAATTGACAAATTTTTATGTACATAATTTAGAGATATTGAATATGTCAGTTGTTATGTTTAATAACAGTTATAAGTGAGTATGCATGTGTTTTAATATCCTTTCAATAACTTACCCATATATAAATATTACAATTTTGTGTAATATATTTGTTCAAACAAAAATGAGTGTGTATTCAATTTTAACAATTTTTGTTTGTTAGCGATCAGTAATATATACAGAACATATATGCTTGATCTTGGTATTTATCAGAGTAAAATAATAAAAATATATACCTAACTTCTATTGTTTTCATTTTATATGTATACATATATACGCATACAAATATATGTATATACAATAAGAAATCTATAAATTATGAATGCTAATATGTAAATTGTACTTTATATATCAATAAATTCTAATTGCATTTGTATACAATATAAATGCATGAAGTATTTTAAGGACTACTCAAATACTAGTGATAATGGATCTAAGTTATTTGAGTTAATATCTTGGAAACACCACCTAAAATTAGTTTAACTAAGAGCATGCAGTGAGTGAACACATAATACACATAAGATAAGATAATAACTTAATGGAAAATATGATGAATGTTGAAAAGATGTAATCAATATCAATGTTAACAGAAACTACTTTTCCTGCACCTTGGTAAGGCATAAACAAATAAGAAGCAATTTTAAATACATAAATACAAGTGTAAATAGATATAAAGACATAAAGGAAGTAGTGAGAAAGATTGAGAAAAAGCATTCTTCAGGATAGAGTTAGAAAGAAGTCAGGGTAATCTTTTGAAACTGTTCAATTAGATTCATCTTTTGACAATACTATAAAGAATGATTTGAATTCAAACCTCGTAGGGTATAAAACTTGTTACCTGAAAATATTGTATCCATTTGTATTTAAACAAAGTACTATATTAGTACTAGCATTACAAACATACACTCCCTACAGCCCTCTGTTTACTTAAATTTACGTTGCTAAAAATTGCTTCTAACTTCATAACTGTTTGCTACTTATATAGTGGGTACGATAGGTAACATCTTTTTGTGTCTATATTTCATATCTACTTTAGTACTATTTAGAAAGCAACCTACGAGGGCTGAAGATTGAAAGGATATTGATTGGGTCGTACCTGATCCAGGGTACCCCGTATCGTCTGGACCGAGGCATCGGCCCATATTGCATCCCATGTTTTTAGTTTTTCTTTCAGCGTCTCTGCTTTAAGTGGACATTTTATATGTTAGAATGGATAAAAGGTTGCGAAATAACTGCATGTACTACACAGATGTCATATAAATATCATATATATGTAAATATGTATGCATATGTCTTGTTTCTATCACAATTATGTATTTAGATATTTGCAAAAGTATTACATATAATCTATAATCATTGAACAACATCTTTATAATTTTGATTCATAACTCTTTCCTTCAGATATATATAAAAATATGTACACTACAAGGCTTTACAAGAATACCAAAAACTAAATATAATGTGAATTTAATGTTATCATAGTGTTATCATAATGTTATCATAATGACTTCATGTACACATTTAGATGAAAGATTACAGAATTCCGAAATGCATAAGGTAGAGCTTTAACTACAGTGTGTATAAAAAAAGAAATATATATTATATATATTATTTAATCAATTTCTTAATTCATATACAAAGGTCTTTGCATATTAATATATTATATGTAAGACCATACCTTATGCCTTACAAAAGAATAATGATGTCTTCAAAGAACATGCATAAACACATAAGATTGGTACTTTCCTGTATTAAACATGCACTATTAAGAAACATGTGTACCCATGAAAAATTATTTTTGAAAAGCATAAATTAAATGTAATAGGCAACACATTCATATTGTACACAGTTAAGATGCTTTATAATATTTTAATGAGAGAAGTTATGATTATTCACTATTTATTTAAAGACAGTGATAAATAAATACGTATATTTAAGAAATATATGTATGTTATGATATAAATTAGAGTACTAAAACTTTTTAATATAGAATCCTACTTGTTAAAAGTTTTTGTTATAACGCAGACATTCTTCTGTTTTATATGTCACACTTGTTAATATACAGAGGAGATTCTAATTTAAAAGTTTTCATACAGATCAGAAGCAAGGACTTTAGCATTAAAGAATCTAGTGTATAGCAAAAGCAATGCAAATGAGGATTGTATATGTTAATATTAAGGCAATACAATTTATATAAATCTTTAAATTTTGCATCATATTTGAGTATTACAAAAACTATTGATTACACAATGGTATAGTATTTTATTTTAGTATCCTTCAGAAATTAAATTATTCACTTTATATTAAACTAAATGAAGATCATGCGACTTATTACAAACTTTGGTCTATCACACATATAGAATATTTAAAATGGAAATTATATATATACATATATATATATATATATATATATATATATATAACAAATATATACTTAGAATATATATATACTCATATATTCCAAGTATACAGAAGCCAATTGTTTACCGAAAATCGATGTATGTTCACCTAGTACTTTTATTAGCATTCGGAAATTCCGATGAAATCATCCCAAAGATGTAAATTGTAAAAGCAGAATTAGGGGTACGCGGATATTTTGAAGAATGGATAGAAACGCGATGATTTCTAACATATCAAAGAACGTACCGGACCTTTTGTTTATCGCAGATCTGACAGGGTAAACGACGACGAAGGAATGTCAAGATGAAACCGTGACACAGATATTTACTTACTAGGTTTCCAGACACGTATCCGGAGAGCTTTTTGCCGAATTTTGCACAGCCGGAAGTGCACAGGCGAAACCAGGGGAGAGAGGAGGGGATTTAAGCCTAAGAGGTGGAGGATGGGGGCGCTAGGGGTGCGACAGGATAGCGACGCAGGGGTCTAGAGCCTGGGGGACGATTTACATACTGAATTAAAGCCCAGGTCGTATTTGAACTGGTAGAAACGATCCCAAATCAGTGATTGAATGTAGTCGCGGTGGACAGCGTGTAGCTTCTCGTATGTTGAATTAAACGGTCGTCATGCGAAGATGCTGTAGATTCGTAACGCATGGCACTCCCTCGGCCCTCTCTCTATCACAGGAGGAGGAGAACGTTTTTTCCCTCCTTGACACACAGAGTTCCCCGTTGCGCCGTTAACAAAGCGACATGTAGCACGCTTAAACCACCCGGACACACATCACAGCACACTCTCACACTACTCCAACCAGTATTACTTAAGAAATAATTGCGTATTTACCTGAAATGTTAAGCGACAGAAAGTCAAGAAGATGGCAGCCTTCGATGGCCACACCTCAATCTGTGAGTGTGCGGCAATCGGCTAGTGAGGGGGGAGCATTATACTCAGGATCGTATTGTTGTTTTTGAAACCCCCTTTCCTAGAATTCCAAATATTTCCCGGTCAATTTTCCATAAAAATTGTCACGATATTTATCAAACACAGTATGTATTTTATATGATTAAATTTTCATAGCAGAAGAGTTGTAAGCACGTTTGAAACCGAATATTCATAGAACATTATAAGTAAAATTATTAATCATGAATATTTTTACAAAATTAAAAAAACATATTAGTCTTTATCAACTTTACATTAATTAAAACGTTTCTGAGCCTATCTACGTATTGTTATATCAATTCTTATTTATCAAGTGGTTTTATTCACGATGATAATATAGTAATACTAGAAAATCGATAATAATATTAATATGTTTCAAAAATTTGTTATTATTATTATAAATTTAAATAAAAACTTATTTTATGTCTAATCAGCTAGTCTAATCTGTCTATGAATATATGGATGTCTAATCTACGCACCATTTAATGATACGTTCCTGGGCAATGCTACAAAACCAACGAATCATACGCCACCGCGCATATCAGGAACCTGTAGAGGGACTTTGCGCATGCAACATCATGTTTCACGGATGTATGTATATGTGGGTGAATGACGGGAAGGGTTGGAAAATATGTAAATAATGCTGCATCGCAGCTTCGTCACCCAGCGCCCCTTGTATGTAACACGTGAAAATCATGACATTAACTTTATAATCATGAAACGAATAAAAAATTAGTATGAATAAACTATTTGCTTTTAAGATCGATTTAATTTTCATTATACATATATAATCATTGTTTTTCTGATAAAATGAACATTATCTTTTATTAAAAAAGCATAAGAGTAATAAATTATACGTATAATTCACGTAATAGATATAACATTACTTACATACACTTATGTTTTCGTAGATTAATATGATAATGTGTGGCATATAATTTCGAATGAACAATGCAAACGCGCCTAAAAAATTAAACTTAGCCGGTATAAGAAAAGAATGAAACGTTATGTTTTCATATAATATTATCGTTTTATTCTTATCATTATATCACTTTACTTTTATTTTTCAAATAATTTACTGGTTTCATGGAAATTCAGGAATGACAGATGTAATTTATAACATAATAGAAAAACTCATTCTCCAGGGTGAGAATAAACGAATAGACTAATCGATGGTGATATTTATTTGTGAAGGCGAATAGTGTATAAATTTGCAATTATCCATAAATATAAATTTACATATACATGCAAATATGAAAACAAAATAGAGCATAAAGTCTAAAAAAGTTTGTGTTTTTATATGTATACTTCGTATATACTAAATAAAAATGATGTCACTATAATACACTGTATACGACATACGATCGTGCTAGTGTATGACGCACACAGAATTGACATGTACGTTTCATTAATTTGAAACAATGTATCAAATAAGGCTCTGAGGATTTGTATCATTTTCTTAAATATACACTTATTGGATTAAAAATGTATTTTTTATTTCATAATGATTATTTCTTGTAATAACATTTCTACATTATATATAATACTAGTTGCGAAATAATTGAAGAAATGATACAGGAAATATATTTTGAAAGTATTTAATATGATTGTTACGTATTTAGAATGTATTTAATTATGTACATTTTTTATTGTAAAGGTAGCTAACATCATAACTTTTTAAATATTTTGAATTTTCTGATACTTTCATATCCAATTTTAAAACAAAATATCTATCATTAAAGTAGGTGGTAAGAAACATAATTTTTTCTTAATTTTCAATATGTAGTAATTTATCAAACAGAAATTATTTTTACGGTAAGTAAGAAAATGTATTGTACTATACAAATTGGTTAGAATAGATTCAAAGCGATGTTGTAAGACATAGAAAGCAACACAGTACATGTTGGAATATCTATCTCATTCATGAAATATTCACTATATTCTAACATTTATTATTTAATCTTCACATATCAAACATCATCAGCACACACCCAAAAAACAAATTATCATGTTCTGTTCAATAATTCAGTCATAGGAAAATTTGTATAGTATATGTATATGAATATCATTTTAAGATAGTGGTAATGTAAGTTAATCTTAGTCATCATTTTTCACATTTTCATATTAAAAATGATACACACTGTTCTGTGACTATGTATGTGTTCCAATTAAATTTAGTTATTTTCATTTTATGTGGAATTTTTAAAATATATCATAATCATAGATTTCTTAATTTTGTTGTGGTGGATCTGGATCATTTGGATTTCCTCCCATTTGCCTTCTTAAGGATTCAATTAATTCAGGATTCGCATTTTGTAATTGTTGAGCAAAATGTTGACCACTACAAAATTTTTAAATATGATATATTTTTTAATGATATTAGATAGCAAATGATTGAAAAGTATGAGTGATACTTACGCTTCTATAAGAGCATCCATATGTCCTCCTTGTTCTACTTGACCGCTCATAAAATTGCTCACCATGTTTTGAAGTGTTGGATTAGATAACATTTGACGGGCCATGTTCATAAGAGCAGGGTTACTTAGGAGTGAACTGAGATCCATGCCTGGCAATGTACCTCCACTTAATGACATATTGCTCATGCTTGGCTGAGTTAATTTTTCTTCTGCTACTTGTAAATTATTTTTATAACTTTCATTGTCAGGTTCCATCTCCAAAGCTTTTTGATAACTTTCCTTAGCTTCTTTATGTCTTTGGAGACTAGAATATGCTAAACCTAATCGTCCATATGCTTTACTATACGAAGGATCAATGGATAATGCAGTATGGCAATCTTTAATTGCTTGTTGATAATTGCCAATTTTACTATATGCTGCAGCACGGTTACAATAATATACTGCATTACGACCATCTAATTGAATTGCTCTAAACAAACAATATTATACTATTATGTAAACAGTATTACAATGTTTATAGAAAAATATATATCTTATCTTTATTCAAACGAAAAATATATACTTTGTATAATTAGTAAGAGCTTCGTGATGTTTTTCAGCTTTCATAAGAGTATTTCCTTCATTTTTTAATCTTTCAGCTTCGATTTTTGCTTCTGGAGTAGCTTCTGGAGCTAAATTGGGCTTTGCATTTTCGATGGAAGACTTGTATATTTCGTATAAGTTAAAATTTGTTGGAGTATCAGATGCTTGTACATTATAAGCACTTTCTAAACACTGTATTGCTACTTCAAGGCTCTCTCGAGAATCTGCTGTAATATCACCTTCTTCTAATTGTTGGGTTAAGAATTGAACAATTGCTGCTACCAGCCCTTTGACAGCCATTACTGCCTTTAAGGAACTGCTCTGTTTGGAGTGACAAATTTAATTATAGTATGATTACACGTTACGCTATAACGATGACACAAACACAGGGTGTTTAATATCATTTAGTAATGGAAGATTTTTGATACGTGTCATAACCTTAAAATAGTTTACCGATTAAAAGAATAAAAAGATTTCGTTAAAAGGAAAACTTAAAATTATTGTTTTAACTTTAGCAAAATCGACTGTAACAATATTATCGGTATCGCGTTAATGAATTGTTAAATGTTTTATTATGCCAAATCATCATAGATTGACATAACCAAAAAAAGACATGCAGGATACAAGCAGACAATTAAATTTCGTTGATTATGCTTTAATTTTTTGAAGTCTAAGAAGAGCCTCTATCTACCGTAATTATATTAAATAAGTTAATCTACATACGCTAATGTTTGAACTATAATTTGCTTACGGTTAATTACAGACAAATAAAAGTTACCCGTCTATGGTGATATGATACCCTGACAGTTTCATTTTAAGTCATTGATTTTACAACATTTTTAATCTTTCTGTATATAAAGGAGCACTTTTTATATTTGTATGTACCTTAAAACTTTAAGTATAGTGCCACACAGCAACAATGAAGAACAGGCAATGTGTTTCGATGGCTTCCACTTTGTGAAAAACTGAAACCTTAACACTTAATATTACGACAGTCACAGAATTCGTCGTGCAATATTATTACGGCTGTTCTGAAAATTTTTGCTATTTAATTGATTTAATTACTTCTATTTCCGTGTGATAATTTTTATGCCATTGGTTGTTCTTTAAATCTCTTTTGTAGAAACGAACGAATTAAAGTCCAATACTTTCGTCTGAATCGCGCTGGCGCAATTCGATTAACACTAAATGTCTTTTTAGATGAAAATATTATAGGTGTCTCAAACCAGAGCAATAAAATAAAATCGTATACATATTAAATGCTAGAAATATATTAATACTTTGATGCATATAATTACAGATTTATGTTATAAATATACATATATATACATGTATATATATTATATAGTATGTATGTTCTAATTTATTCTGCACTACATTGCATACCATGTATGTGTGTGTATGTACATTAATTTGTAGATAATACATCGATAACGGTAAATAAATTCATATACTAAAGTTTTTGTAAAATATTATTAGGGTCCCTGCTTAATGATTTTCAATGTCGTGCTATTCGTGCTTGTACCCTTAAAAATATAGTAATTTTCTAAATGATAGAATGGCACCATCGTTTGTAAATCATCTATACGGTGATGTATTTTCAATTGAAACTTCTGAAAATAACCATTTTGTGACACAATTTATATATACATATAAGCTAAATTATTTCAACGACTTAATTGATGGATCAATAAAAACTTACCTGAGCATACATATATTCGTAAATGTAAAACTGATCGTTCTCCGTCGTAACGATGATAAAGGAGTCGCTCTTCCCAAAATCTGAAATAAGATAATATCTTAAATACGATTTAAAATTTACTATATTGCAATGTGAATGTTATTTTAGTGTAATATCAATTAATATTGCTCGTACCATCTGTATAGAAACATTCTACTCCATGGATTCGCGAATCATGAAATAGACTTTGATAGTCATAAAAATTATCAAATTCTGGATCATAATAAAAGATATTTATCGCATTCGTTTCAAAATCGTCTACCAAAACGAAACAATCCTGTTCTTGAATGAGACTTTTCACATTGTGCGTTTTACCTTCAAAGCTTCTTATTATAATAAACTAAAAAATAATACCTATATCAGATCATCGCCCAAAATATTTTTATAAAATAATTAAAGACGAAGTGCTCATTACTTTGGAGGTAATAGTGTCCAGCTTATACAGATACGACTTTTCAGAATTTCCGAAGCAACCGAGCAGCAGATATATGTCCCGATGATTTGCTTTGAAAATGTCGATAGCCCAAGCTCCATCAGTGGATATATTCTGGTACAACGATAAATTATTGTTCTCAAAATCAATCTTGTAAATTACAGAATTTGTGTGATGTGTTGCGAGTAGTGTATCATAATACACTGCCAATACTACGAAAGCTGCATCTAAAATACATATATGTATATAAATATGTTATGTACTGTTTAACAAAAATTACACAAATAATTTTATTAATTTAATAGTTTCTATCTTAAGAGTTTTTATTAGTTTTAAATATCATACTATCATGTGTTGTGAAGACCTTTGCGTCCTTTATGTAACCTCGAATTTTTAGAGGCGTTTCCTTTACATTAGCTAACTTTTTTTCTGCACCGATCAGTCCAGATTTAATCCAAGAAATCATAATGAATTCGTTTTTGGTATTGTTTGAAGTACATTCACGGCTATATGATATTGTGTTTGATACTACATTTATACCAAATGTACTGTGGAATTCGTGATAATTTCGTATTATTTTATTATTATTTATTCTTTGTATGTAACAATCGTTTTCGGTGAGCTCAGCCATATATTCAGTGGGGCAAGAACAGTTATCTGAAAGTCCGCAAAGAGATCCTGGTTCTTCTCCAAACATGTTCAGCTTTGTGATCTGTTCGTAATAAACAACATCAATCTTCTTGATGTTGGGCGCCTGAATTTTCAACTTTTCATCTGCTTGCTCCAAATAGAAGAAAACATTGCCGAGATTTTCAGAAATCGAAGTAGATCGAACAATGTTCTTCTCTATCTCAGATTCATTCTGCGTGAACATGTGGAGGGTCCGATGTGTCTCTTGTTGTAAATCGTAGAAAATAGTATTTAAATTTATTCCATTCATTAAGTTCGAAACAAACACGTTTTCTGGAACCTTCACTTTCGACTCGAAAATCTAGAAATATCCAATTTTCAAATGTATCATACCGCTTGCAAATATTGAAATCGAGCAACATTACCAAGTCTCCTATGATTTCCACGTCTTCGTCGTTTTGTATACCATTAGAATATTCTAACGATACGTTTACTTCATTGATGAACGACGTGTAAATATTGCCACTTATTATGACGTTTTCTTCAAAGATTTTCGAACCAGATACCACTTGTGTTTCCTTTCTTTCATTCAGAACCAAATCGGAGGGATAGATGCCATTAATTCGCGAGAGATTCGTGTTCCCTAAGATTTTTTGAAAATATTGTAATCTAAGAACTTAAGATATATATTAAATAATTCATATAATTTAAGTAATTACGTAAGTATCGTATATGCTTTACAATTGAAACAATGAAACTGCAGCTTTAAAAACTTAATGGAAAAGGAAATAATAGTTAAATATTATCTGATCTTTAATGCGATATGTTTATAATTATATACCTGTTATTTCAACAGTGTCATCAAATTGTACGTTAGTAAGTATTTCGTGTTCTCCGTCGATGGTTACACGATTTTTTAAAAATTCATCAAAATTTACTTCATCTAGATTCTTTAAATATATATCCTCCAATATAACAAGATCTTTTAAAGATGTATACGTAGGTAATTTATCAGTCACCAGAGCTACCCCATTCAAAGGAACATTATGAAGGTCATCATCAACAAGGATTTGATCGATCGCTACATCATCGAGGAATGTTATAGTTCCAGCTATTACTTCTTTTTTACTTTTCCTCGCTACAGAATTATTAAATTCGAAAATATTGATATTATTAATCATAGGAATATCAATATCATCGACCATTGAAATAGTATCGATATCCAGATCATCTTTAAAAATCTTTTGGCCAATTATTTCGATGTCTTTATCGTCTATCACAGCATCTACAATGATATCACGTATTTCGTCGATTTCTTTACATCGCCCCGCAATTGTTGATGCTGATATATCTCCCTGAAAAATGGTGTCACCGTGAATAGTTTGATTTGTAGTTGTAGTTACTGCGTTTTTGAATAACGATGTCAAAGAAGCAGAACTTGTTGAGGGAAAATCCCAAGAAATATTCCCGTTTACTTTTAAATCAACGATTCTTGATACTGTTATGTTAAGCATGCTCTCGTACAACTGTAATAAAATGATTGAATAATTAAATTCAATTGAATAATAAGAAAACAAAAGTATCATAAATTCATATTTCAGTGCTTACCTCGTTAACATCGAGATTGTTTAAAGTTTTTGTTACAGCATCCCCTTCTACAAATAAATCATCAAATTTAATATCCTTTATTAGAAATAGAGGCTTGTCGATCCATGTCAACTTAGAGATGTTCCGATTGTTGATGAAGTTAGTTTTAATGTTATCAGTTGTAACTTTGTAAAAAGTGAACTTCCCAGATATATCTTGTTCCCTTGACTTTGAAAGGAAACTTTCGAAAATATCGTTCACGTCATGACCATGCAGAGATTTCAACGTAATATTCCGTACAGTTAATTCTTGGAATATTATCGTATTTTTATTATTAAACACATTTTTTTTACGGATATTCCTTAAATAGTTTATCGATGGCTGATCACCAATTTGAGCTACTTTTAAATCATCTTTAACCGTTAGATTACCATTTATTACCAAATCTTTTATGTCAGCTATTTTCATATCTCTTAACAATAAAAGTTTCTTCATTTCAACATTGTTAATCTTTTCAACATAAAGATTTTCTACATGAAATTCTGGAGTCTTTATGAACTTCGTTCTCTGACCTTTGTTAACATTTCTCGCATTCTGTAAGAAGAAAGGGAAATTAAGCTCGTCTATGTTTATTTGTTTAGTCTTAATTGTCAAGAAGTTCATATCGTCTGGAAAAATATATGGCTGCTTTCCGTTTAAAATGTCAGTTACTGGGAGGCCATTAAAGATGCCAGTCAATAATTGGTTTCCACGTAGATGCTTTACATGCAATCTTTCTCCAATGGTGATTGATTCTGGAGCGATTTCAAAAAGATTATCGCCCTCTCCTTCGGTGAAAAACATATCGTCTACGTGAACATTTTCAAAATGTAGCCTTTTAAAACGTTCTGAAATAACACTTGTAGTAGTGTACAAAAATTCATCTTCAGAAAATCCATTTATGTATTTTGCATTCAAACGATCTATAGTTAAATTATTTTCAAAAATGACATCGTTTTCGATTATTTGATCAGTCGATTTCGTCCAAAAGGTACCAAAGATATTAGTCAGACCTATTTCTTCATTATTTAGAAAGATTCTTGTGTACTTGTCTAGATCTAGCGTTCCAATGTTCAAGTTACCATGAATAGTGACATTAGAGTAAATTTGATGTGACGGACCTATCGGTGGGTTAATGCTTGAATCAACTATAAGTTTCTCTGTTACGTGTAATTTCGCAACTTTCGTCTCCCCTATGAAACATGAGATAATTCATGTGAATGTAGATAGTACGAAAAGATTTCGAAAATTGAACTAATTATACTTCGTGTACCTTTGATTACGTTGACGGTAGATACTCGCGCTGCTTCCGAAACCGGAACACCGTTTATCAAATCAGTATATAAATTTTCTACTTGAAGCTTTCTCATGGTAAAGTTACCAAAAGTTTGATTGGTTTTTGTGTTCATATAGTTATCCCATGGTTCTCCATTCAACATTTGTATCGTAAAATTGTAGATTTGTAATGTATTATTGAAGGTAACATTCCCTAAAAAATTTAATTCAGATTTAAATATCGGCCTGTTAAATCAAAGAGTTCATCTGAGATGATTTGCTTTGGTTTGAAATCTACCTTCAATTCTCTGATTACGGTTGATGATAAATAATTCATTGAAGAGATCATTGATATTTACGCCGTTTAACATTTTTACGTTTAAATTCGTCAAAGATATACTTGAATTTAAATATATGATATTGTTTGAAAATTCAATTTCATCTTTCTCTATATTTATGTTCATTTTCGATGTATCATTGATTAAAGCCCAATCTAAAACGATATCATATTTTTGATAAATATATATATATTCTTTCGTATCATCGGGACATTGTTATTGTTAGATAAAATAATATTGAACATACATTGATATGGGATTCCACAAATGGAATCTACTTTAAGATCATTTACAGTGATATTTCTTTTCTTCGAAAATTCTTGTATCTTATCCGAATTATTGTTCAAATGCATATCAACATCATTAACAAAATCTACAATCATTCTATCAATCTGCAACTGTTCAATGAATGCATTGCCATCGACAAGAATATCTGCAATTATAGAATTTGTGTTATTCATCGTTAAATATTCGTTAGATGATAAAACATCATCAATTTCGTGGGTCAAATTTTCTAAGCGCCGTTCCATCACGCGAGGCGCAACGATGTCTTCGTTTACGAAGATGTCGATGTTATTTACAGTTCCTGCATCTAATATTAAATTTGGCAAAACGAAAGATTCCGATATCGTTAAGTTCTCGTGTACTGGTTGCAAGAGGGGCCATAAGGACTCAGCTTCTTCCACGAAAGGTTTTCTTTGTAGCAATATTTCAACCAGTTCCGCCAAATTTTTCGATAAAGTATCACTCTCCTTAATCGAATGTTCTGAAAATACCATTACAGTAACTAAATTAATGCATAATTTTGGAGGGCTATTGTTTTAAGCAGAATAATTAACCAGAGGGAATTTCTTCAATGCGTAACTTCCACGATTCTACGCTATAAGTTTTATCCGAGTTAACAACAACCAGCACCATAATTATCGTGGAATTGTCGATTCGAGTTCGTATATCAATCAGAATTCCATGGGGTAGCTTCATAGTGTGTATTAAGATATAATCCGATGCATTTTCAAACTTGTATAGTTGCAAGATGTTCTGTGATACAATTAGTATTTACGAACAAAATTCCGTAATCGTTGATTAGTTATCAAATTTTATGCTTACATCATAAGCTACAAAGAAAAAGGTATCGTCATTGATGCTCACTATGCTGACTAAACTGAATGTCCTTATTTCTGGCAATTGTTGCCAGCTTAATAGTTCATGTCCTAAAAGAATAAGTTCTCCATAAATCGATAATAAGTAAATGGAAACGAGTAAAAAGAAAAACCAACCATCCCACCAAAGCAAGTTGCTCGGTGTATATTCGTTTATTAGCAAAATGAAATTAAAGTCCGCATGTTTGTAATGATGAACAGAAATCGGATTGGAAGTTTCCAAAAATTGTATAGTATCCAGGCTGGTTTCCTTAAACTCGTATACCAGGGAACCGATTCCCGATGCATCTCTATTATTCTGTGCGAATATTATAATCGTCGATTGCTTATATTTGAACGTAGTGACCGATATCGCGGCGATGGTCATCACTTCTTTTATTATATCCATATACGTTTCTCTCCAATGATATATTCTACGTTAATATAAAATATATGTGAATTCCGAAACACAATAATTACAAAATGTATGGTTACTAATTTCGCTTACAAAGAAGGTACAGAAAATTGACCAATATTATCGGCTACTACCAGATAAAGTCGATTAGAACGAACGAAGAAATTGGCATCCGTAGGACATCCTTTGTGTTGAATGGTCTGCCGATATTTGAATTGCAAATTATCCATTTTTGTATAGATATTACACGAGCCAGTTTCGTAACAAATTAGTAGATAAAGTACACTTCTCCAAACGATACTCTGTAGCATATTAATTGAAATGACTTACTATCGAATGTGATTTTAAGTAATCGTGATTAGCGCTAATTTACCTACCCTGACAAATTTAATGGGACCATTATTAAGAGTTGAGATTATTCCTCGCGATAAGGTATGATTAGAAGAAGGAGAATTAAGTGAAAATTCTATGAAACGATTTGCTTCTATTAAAAGTATCTTGTCGTATATATTCGCTATGAAAGGTGGATTTTTGTACATCTCCTTTAACAATAATTGATCCCATTTTACATCGTAGACTTGTTTATGAACTACAATTACCATATTTTAAAGTAGCTTTAGAAATATCTAACATGAATATTTAGTCTGTTTATTGATTTCTTTTACCTGGTGGTTCTTCTCGAAAATAGAGCTTGGCTATCTCAACTTTTGTCTGCTTCAACTTTTCGTCGAAATGATCGGTTAACGAAATGTGCACAGTAATGAAACTGATGTAACCGAAGAGAAGCTGAGGTAACATAAAAATATAATCATTTAAAATGTAACATTATAAATTTGAATTAAAAAATTTAATTTGATTTTTAAGCTTTGAATTCGAATTTTTCGTTTGAACGGCTGATTTACACTTACCAAAATTTTTAAAGATCCCATGATCTTAGACAGATCGGATGCTCGAATTCATATTCACTCATGAAAGCTTATTGTACTAATTGATCGCGAAAGACAATTACAGGTCGTCGACTGAATACACATACAAACAGCTGTAGCTGTATCAAATATCAACAAGTAACGACCATTATTAAATTTGAATCATTCATGATCAGAATTGTGTGATAATTTATTGAATATGATAAGGGTGAGTAAGATTTCTGTTAAAAGGAATTTAACATAAGTATATTAAGAACAATAATTCAGAAGAGTAAATAGAATAAAAATCAAGTGAAATTGTCTTGCTAAACAAATTTTTATTTGTACATAATTTATCATTAAAAACAAAAACAAATGCAATTTTCAATAAGAATCTAAATTGGAAGTTAATTTTAGGACTATGATGGAAGAGGACGTATTCTAAAGAGTTCACAGAAATTTAAAAATTATCGAATCCAGTGAAATGTTGGGCCAATTCCGATTAGTCAACTGTTATTAATGGAATGTATAAATAGACTTATATAATGAACCTGACAATTGGATGAAACTAGCTCAGGGTCCAAATACAACGATTTTATGCTTTCCTATTCTTCTAACACACTCGTTTGTCACATAAATATTATGAATTATGTTTTATTAGTCATTATCACGCATTGAAAATATAACATAAAATAACATCGATATAGTTATTGACGTATCTGTTTTTTATGATATTTGATTAATTTTAAACTTACTTCTGTATTGAACATAAATATAGCTATACTTATCTCTTTTTATCTACAAAATGTTATTACGTCCGATGATGTTACATCCGATTTTAATCTATGATATAATATAACAGCTTCCTAAGATAGCATATTGATATAAATATTTATAAAGATAAGATATGATTCTTAATTAATTTCGAACAATAAACATACCATAACTTATATTGTTTTACATTAATATACGAATCCGTGTATGTATTCGATTGGGGCCCGCGGGCCCAAATGATTCAGAACATAATCATCGAATGAATTAAGTTATGAGATGATCCTCCCGCTGTCGGACCGATCTTCGATTCTGGATTTCGTAGACACAGATGGCGCCTGGAATTCGAACAAATACAATCCCTGTAGCGTTTCCATTGGCTAGAAAGGACTCGCGATCTTGGCATGGATTGGCCGTTGATCGTGATCGAGAGATCTCGACAAATCCTGACTGTGTCCTGTAGAGCAAGGAAGGAGGGTACACGAACTGTACGTAAAGTGATCGTGCCGGTATCGCAGGTTCGTGCAGTTTTGGTCCATTGTCATCGCTTTTGACGGGATCACGGGGAGCAGCGACTGATCACGAGAAATAGATTGCACGTATGCACGTATTGAACGATAATAGCTACATTGACGAGGGACGTATAAGCAAGTGTACAAGGCTGTACATCCGATCAGTGTGTGTATGCGAGCACAACCGCGTGCGGGCGGTTCCCACACGTCCGTGCAACAAGTGTCATACACGGGAGCGCGGCGAATAACCGATTATTCCGAAGAGCACCGTGCATGGTGCTCGTTCTTTCTTCACCGAATAGAAAGAACGACCGGCGAGAATGGGTTGTGCGGTGAGCACCACCGGCGAGAAAGAAGCTGCGGAAAGGTCTAAGAAGATCGACAAGGATCTCAGAGCCGATGGGGAACGGGCCGCCAGTGAGGTCAAGCTCCTCTTGCTTGGTAATTTCTACTCCTTTTCTTTTCGTTTATATACTTTCTCCTTACAAGAATCGTTCCATCGTTATTCTTTCATTTCTTCCTTCACTTTGTTCGTGATATTGTTTCGAAAATATCCTCTTCTTAGAAGACGATGTATTCCTCGACGTTTTGATAATTCGTCGTAAAAATAAATCGCTGCACTGTGCTACTACTGACAAAACGTTTTTTTCCGCTCATTTTTCCACCAATTCTTTAAAGTAATATTTGGTTTTTACTCCCAATAATATTTTCACGTCATTCACATTCCGATCAATTATCGGATTTGCGCAATCGTGCAACTGTAGCGCGGGCGCTTTTCTGAAATCTTTGAATCATCGTTTAGAATGAATCATTGTATATCGTATTGAACACTTACTCGATTACCGACAACTGCAGTCAGATATAATTTCCATTCATGAATATCGGTATCTTCATCATCGTTTTAAAGGGACAAATTTGGAAATCAAACGCTTTGACATGCACTAATACATGTTTATTAAACATACGAATGTATTCATTTTAAGGAGCTGGAGAATCTGGAAAATCTACTATAGTAAAACAAATGAAAATTATCCATGAAACTGGCTATAGTAAAGAAGAATGTGAACAATATAAACCTGTAGTTTGTAGTAATACAGTTCAAAGTCTTATGACAATAATTAGAGCCATGGGTCAACTTAGAATTGACTTTGCAGACCCTAATAAAGCGGTAAATACATTAATTTTAAATAAAAATGTTTCATATACTATTACATCATACATGTTTTATCAGTAATAGAGAAATCTAATCATGTTGTAGGATATAGCACGTCAATTCTTTACCCTAGCTTCTGCAGCAGAGGAGGGTGAGCTAACTGGGGAACTGGCACTATTAATGAAACGATTATGGCAGGACGCTGGAGTACAACTTTGTTTCACACGTAGTAGGGAATACCAGCTCAATGATTCTGCGGCATATTACCTTAATGCTTTAGATCGTATAGCACAACCTAATTATATTCCTACTCAGCAAGATGTTCTTAGAACACGTGTGAAAACAACAGGAATAGTAGAAACACACTTTTCTTTCAAAGGCTTACATTTTAAGTAAGTTTATTTCAAGATCTTTTTATTAATTTTGTATTACGAAACATTACTAAGAAATTTTCTGCTCTACCAGAATGTTTGATGTGGGTGGTCAAAGATCAGAAAGAAAGAAATGGATACACTGTTTTGAAGGAGTTACTGCAATCATATTTTGTGTTGCATTAAGTGGATACGACTTGGTTCTTGCAGAGGATGAAGAAATGAATAGAATGATAGAGTCGATGAAATTGTTTGATTCTATCTGTAATAGTAAGTGGTTTGTTGAAACATCAATCATTTTATTTCTAAACAAAAAAGATCTTTTTGAGGAAAAGATCACTAGGAGCCCATTGACTATTTGTTTCCCAGAGTATAAGGGTGCTAATACATATGAAGAATGTGCTTCTTACATTCAAATGAAATTCGAAAATTTGAATAAAAGAAAAGATCAGAAACAAATTTACACACATTTTACATGTGCTACCGACACATCTAATATACAATTTGTGTTTGATGCTGTAACCGATGTTATAATCAAAAACAATTTGAGTAATTGTGGTTTATTAAGTTAAACATACCAATATCTTATTAAATCAAAATGAGTAAATTGATATCTAAGATGTATAAACTTACGTGAGTGCACAAAGGATACACATGAGACTGAGAACAAATTGTTAGGAACAGAAATATAATTTGGGTATACCATCATGTATACCAATAATGCTATCTCTCCATTTTGTCATCTCCTGTTGGTTTTTACAATATTTTTATACTATGAATAATAGTACTATGAAATAATTTGTTAGATCCTTATCTATATCTTTCTCATGCAAAATATCATGACATTTCGTTGTAATTGGTTACTTTTAACTTATTACTTTATTTTAAATGACTAATGTAAAATTGGAATGTTTGAAAATTTAAATTGTTATCTTAATAAAAGAGCAGATACTGTTTTCAAACAAACAAATATCTGGTCTCACTGCTAACTGTGTTTAGTATATTAACCAGAACTAGTTAGCTATTAATTTAGTAATACCATTTTGTATATAATTTATTCATTAAAAATAATATGTTTATACTGAATGGAAATGTATTTCCATAACAGTGCTCGAAGCTATTCATTTCTCTTATAATAATTTGTCCATACTGCAATGACAGACACAGTTCATCATGTTGACAATATATATTTATACAAGCTAAATTTGATAAAAAATTTTGTAAAAAAGACAAGGACCTTTTTATACGTATCATTAAATAATGTTTAAAGGGTTGTCATTATTGCTCTATCTGCCAAACAAATGACAATGTTAGAATTAGTTACAGATTTAGAAAACAGTCTTATTATATTGATGAAATAAATAAAAAACTTTTTTAAAAAAGTGATATTTTTTTGAAATCCTATGCTTGCCGTTCTGAAATACAGAGTGATGGTAGCAGATTAGTGAATTTTAGAAAGTAACAAAATACATAATGTATTTGGTGTATGTAGGAAACGTATGTAAATTACAAAAGTTTTTCTCTTTTTTCACTAAAGTCATCTCTATTTACATTTCCATCAAATAGATACATGATTCAATTTATAAAAATGTTTAAGTTCATGTATTTTTAATATTGTTTTAGATTTGTAAATCATGTCATTTTAGATTTGTAACGTTTTCGCGAAATTTTCCGTTTAGAAAAGACTCATAGAAATGATAATACTCACACATTAAGTACTTATTATTCCAAATCTTCCACAATAATTAAGAATATTTCCTTCGTTGTATAAACACAGAATCTCATTTTAGTTGTAATTCGTATCGATCTCTATATTATATGTATATGTACAATAATACAATACATGTGAAGCTACAAAATAAATATAGTAATATTTTGTTTTTCTGACAGTGTTTAAAACTTTAATTTATACATACAATATATATGTACTTATGGAAAATATTTTGTATGAATACTGTTCTTTGTTCTTTTATTTTTATCATTATAACTAGCAGTAAACATAAATTACCTCTCTTTCAATTTTTAAAAATCATGTTTACCATCTATTTGTAATAAAATACAGTAAGATGTAACATAGTTAATAAATCATTTTAACATTGATTGTAAAATTAATATATCATGAAAATATAACGTTTGTGGCTTGTGTATTTTATAATAGTATTAATTTTTTTCTTTATATTTAGCCACAATAAATTTTTTCGGAAGATTATATTAATATAACATTTTCAACAGCACAAATTTCATTAACATAATTATTAGTTTATTTGTTTTAACGATCATTAAGAAGTATTTAAACTGGGTACATTTTTAAACTCTGTATATGTTCTATGATATACAGGGTGATTCAGCTTTTTTCCGCAAAAATTTACCAACATATGCTATAAGCAAGATTAATTAAATTAATTAATTATAATAAACATATGAAATGATAACGAACTGGTATTTCGTCAACACAACATAAGAACATTGCTGCACGCCAATGGATTTTTACTTGTGGAGAACTATGAAAGAAAAAGTTTATTAAATACAAATTAATAGGTGTCAGGGGTTAATGCAAAGGATTCGTGATTTATTTGTTGCAATTAAGAAAAATGAACAAGAAATGAGTAATGCAATAGATTCTATTTTCTGAAGATACCAATCCTGTATTCATAATAACGAACGACATTTTGAAATGGAATTATAATGTGAACCAACAATCTATTCCTATGTGGTATCAAACAAGAAAGCAGTCTATTACCATTTCGTATTTGTGTTATAGCTTGTTTTAATAAAACATTTAGGAGCATATATTTGTACAACATCTTTTTCTTATTTTTACTTATAGAATATGCTGGTAAAGTTTTACAGAAAAAAACTGGGGCTCCCTCCTATATGTATAATCAAATCTTTGAGGTATTTAACAGATTTGTTTATATGTAAAGTATAATAAGGAAATGCACGACAGGAAGCATAAATTCTTACAGTGTCTGAAAACTGAATTTGACTAACCAGAATAGACTTGAGATTTATAGTATGCTACACAGCTGTACATTACATAGAAGCAATCTATTCTGTTTTTAATCTCTATCTATATTTATAAATAATTAGCTACACAATGACACATAACGAGTCAATTCCGAAATTATATAGACCACTGTTTAATGTGGATTTCTAGCTGGAATGGGTGGTCCACCTGATGTTCTTGCCGGTATTGGTGGTGGAGCATTTGACGCGGGTAAACTAGGTGGTGGATGTTGAGGAGGAGGAGGAGCTTGTCTTTGAGGTAGTGGAGGTGGTTTAGAATTGGGTGGCCTACTAGGTTCTTGCGAAAGATCCGTACGAGGTAATGGAGGTGGTGGACGGTTTGGTATGGGGTAGTTAGGTGATCCATCCATTATTTCTTCATAAATTGCAGATTCCGGAGATAACCTTTCACTTTGGTCAAATTCTCTTTCTCTGGCTAAAGGTGCTGGATATTGATTGGGCAACACGCTAAATACACCAGCTCGTGGTCCTTGTTTTCGATCTTGTACTGGACTTTTTGGAGGTTGAGTTGGACGCCCTGGTGGAGCTGGTCTGGGTGGAGGAATTACTCCATTTGGACTACCTCTACTAGGGGATGATCGTTCTCCTATGTCTAATTGTTCTAATCTTTGCATAGGGCTCCTCATTGGAGAATTTGAAACAAACTGTGCAACTGTGGTATTACTGCAAAGTTCTATTTCTTTTTCAATTAGTTGTACCCAGTTTGGAGATTTCAATGATAATTTCAAGGCTTGACCACATACTTGAGTCATACCTTTTCTTGCTGCTGACAAAGCACATTGTCCATCTCTAAATGTTACCCAGATTGTTTCACCGACAAATCTGACAAGGATTACTTCGCCAATATGAGAGAAATCTTGCAATAGAGCCATCATGAAATTTTCATCGAACACGCTGTCCATATCATCCGATTCTTCAACTGCTTTAACTACTATAGTGCCATCAGGTGGACCCAAATCTTGAATCACTTCCTTGAATACTCGTTCGCGCTTTTCAGATTCAACGCAATGAATATCTATATCTATAATGGCAATAACCGGCCGATGATCACTTTGTTTCAATTCTGCTCTGCCATAATGAATTAATTTTCCTGGATTCCAATCTGTAGGGGAATCTAAAACAAATGTGCGAAAATGTAATTAACGAAAGTGACAAGAATGCCAACGAGAATCATAATTGTATAGAACTAACCGATGTCAGGTACTTGTTTTCGACGTTTCCACAATACTCTATCCGTCCAAGCAGGCTGTCGACATTTTTCACTAGTATCATAGTCACCAGAAAAAAGATCATACTTGTATGTTGGAGCAAAGTTAATAGGACCTTCCAAAAAGTTTTTGAAAACATTTCCTTGCTCCTGTTGAACCTAAATTCGAAATATGTTAAGGAAATTAACAAACATGTTTGTATAAAGTATTTACTTTACAAATTTATTGTCTTTACCTTCAACTGATCATATTGTAATATTTGATCAAACTCGTTTCTTTTGATCATTTCTTTCATCTCATCCTTATCCATATCAACCCTGTAATTGAAATCTCCACACCAAAATACGTAATCGTGAGTATTTAATGTTCTTCCCATAGGGAAGGTAATTTTTCGCGTAATTTCCGCATAATCTGCATTGCGTTCATTCACTTGAGATTGACCAGCAGCAAAATGTGCACAAACAAAACAAAAGGATGTGGAATACAATACGCATCTAATAGCAGCAGCTCCTTTATTTCCTGTTGCACCTCCCAAACCAGTTTTTACACAATCTACAGCTACATCTCTTAAATAAGGTGCATGCTCAGGTCGTATGAATAAATAAAGACAAACACCGACTAATTGTTGATATGTGACTAAAACATATTCAGTATCCCGAGAAAGTACTTTTTGCAATTCCTCTGCCCAAGCTTTTGCATTATCAGTACTAGCAGCCATTATGTTACTAGCATTCAAGTCAACGATTTCTTCGAATCCTATCGCAAATATATCTACAGGAATATTGTCATATTCAACTGATACTAGAGCTGTAAAAAAGATATAATTAATTCGTAAAAAATTTATTTTATTAATAGCAGAAAATATATTTAGGTTTAGAACTTACATGATGATTTTCGTGGAGCATCTAGTAACCAATCAGAAAGAGACACATCTTTGTACACGACACTTCGGAAGTGTTTCCCTCCATTAACGTTGTAGGTACCAACACTTACTCTGAGATTCATTGTAGCTACATACTCATTATATCTTTTACACATTTCTCTGAGAACGCTCGGTGGAGCGTGTAGCATATTTGAAGGTAAAAGTAATCGAGCTCTATCCGCTAATTCAGTATTTAAAGTTGATCCCAATAACAAAATGTCAATAGCTTCTTGTTTACTGGAGTCTAATAAATTATTTTGTATTGTTCTAGCTGCAGATCTTGCACCATCCATTAATTTTGAACTTCCTTGAATTGCTCCAGTACCAGCATATATTTTACTTACTTCATTACCATTGTTGATCCACATTTGTCTAAATACTTCTTCAAATCTTGAAACCATCTGCTGTTTTTCAAGTAACTTTAATAATCCAAGTTGTTTGCTAAGTATCTCCAATGCAAAAAATGTTTGTACACAATTTGTTCTATCTAAACAATCGAGACAATTTGTTCTAATAGTCCCAGTTTGTTCAAGAATGACAGTATTACCAGCCGCATAAAACAAGGAAAATGATTCTAAATATTTATCTACTTTTGTTTTCAACTTTGAAAGGTTTTTCATATTTCCACCTCTGCATTCTTGGTGGTAATCAAATAGAATATGAGGTACATCAGTATGTTCTGACATATTATGATGAGTTTGGAATAACTGACTTAACATTGCTTCTCCTTCTTTACTCCCAATCAGACTAGATCCAAGAAGATTGATAATTACTTGCTGGCCATACCTTTGTTTAATCATATTCAAATGTCTATTAAAGGCTGGTGCAGAAGCTTCAGAACCACGAGAAATTTTCACTTTGTGAGAACCAACCTGTATGCCAGGCTGTTCCCAGAATAAAGGAACTGATCCCCTGGTTTGCACATAAGAGGTTACTTCATTATCTAAATATATTACTTGCTCTGTTTCTACAAAATTTGCTACATGACCATCATCATTAGTTCCTCTGACATTAAACCTAGATAATGAACATAAATTTATAGAATATTGCTAATGTAAAATGCAAACTTGGTTTTAAATAATTAATATAGTATTATCAAGTATGATTGTATTATATTACATGATAAGAACTGATATGAGTGGCACTACTGTTTCAGTGTCGTAAAATAATTAGTTTATGGATTATTTGTATTCAGTTAAGAATGAATTAAGAATACCTTGTGCCTGCCCGTTCACAACTTAATCTAGACATGAGGACAGCACGAGCTTGTCTATGACCAACATATACAGTTCGAATTTCTACACTACCACACATTGCTTTAAGTAACCAATGGGATGTATCCACACCATATCTTAATAAATGTATGTGTAACATCCGATTCCTATTTGTTACATGGAAAAAAAAGAACATTGAGATTTTTGATACATACATACATATAATATATGTTATGTACTGACCAAAAGAATCTATTGTCAGTTGTTGTAGATTTGCATCTCCTCTGTGCACTAAGGGTAATATCAAGAGGCTCTTGATTAGAAGACCAAGAAAAATAAAATGTACCAGAGTTGAGAACTTTTCTAACTTCAGATACACGATCCTCGTTACTTTGTGTATAATGAAGTGGTACAAAATGAGTCTGTGTAATTCTAAATACTTCGGACTCTCCTATTTTGCCAACTGAAAAACAGCCAGTCACAAGAACAAGATATAATAAAGTATTTTCACCTGCATTTAACTGCAATACGCCTAAGCATCCATATGCATCTAATAATTTTGTATATTTCCCTTTCAAAGTGTCTGTTTCTTCAGCAGCTGTAAAGTAATATTTAAAAAATTAAGGAATTTATTTGATAGATATCACTTCTTATGTTTTCTAAGCGATAATTTTAAAGAAAAAAAATTGAAAGATTAAAGTTAAAGGATATTCGCTGAAAAATATTAATTACGATAAAGTACTTACAAAGAACAGCGACTGCCTGTGATTCGAAAAGAACAGTTTCCTTTCGATTTCGTTGTTCCAATATAAGTGAATGAGGACTAGGTGGTTTTAACTTTTCGTAGACGCGAAACCCTTTGCCCATCGCCATTGTTGTACTAATGTCTTTGAAAGTTTCGGGGATAAATGTACACTTTGGTAGAATATGACAGCCCCGTCTGTCATACGGAGGAGTATGATCACCCTACTCTTACTATGTTTTCTTTCTTTCTACCAACTGATCTTCTTTCTTCGCTACTGACAGTGATATGCTTCTCCCTACTAGTTAACGGTGGAGAGTAGCGCTCTTTTCGCTAATCCGTCGATACTTCGATATTTTCGCAATATATACATCGCGATTTCACGGAGTCTACAGTCTGCTTGTCTAACCGTAACAATCAATCGAACGCGCCATTTTGAAATTTTGAAAAATCAAATATGCAACAATCTCGCGCCATAAACATCAGTCAGTTAAAAGTTGCTTCATCAGTAACATAGAATTTTTGTGATTAAAAATACCGTTCTCCTTTCATGACTTTTGAACGTAAATAAAGTAATATGTGAACGCTAGTGTGAAAAATTCAAGCAAGAATACAAAATTTTGTGCACACAGTGAAAGTTTATATACAGAATTCATCAATCGTGAATTTTTAATGTAACTTATCAACTTTAATTTTAAAAGGTGTCATTTTGACGAATTTTGAATGTTTTAGTTTTTAAGGCAACTTCCTAATCTTTTTGTGTAACTAATTTTAAGTATCAGAAAGAATAATGTTCCAGATCCCGTCAAAAGGAGTTTTGAAGGTAACAGTCTTTAAAATTTAATACGTATTATAGAAATAACCATTATACAGAAGCTTTATCATATTTTAAACGTATACCGTTGACTGTGAAATAAAAATATAAAGATTTCTTCTACGGTTTCTACTCGTTAAAGTGAACGGAAAGATATTGAGCTATATTGAAATTTAAAAAACTAGATGTTTAATACGATGATATTGTTGATTTTCAAGTTGTATCGTAGCAAATAATAAATAATATATAAAAATGATTAATTCAATTTGTTATAAATATTAGAAAACAAACATTTCCTGTAGTAAAAGCAATCGATGTTTTTTAAAATCATTCAAAATAACTTGTTTAATATTTTCTAGTACAATATATTAGTTACTGAAACATAACAGTTCAATGAATCATGATTTTATAAAAGATATTTTCAAAAAGATACAATTCTTGCGGTAAAGTTTATTTCTTTTAGTGACATATTAATTATTACATTTATTTTCCACAATGGTCGTTAAGTTTAAACGGGATTCTTTATTAAATGATCGATCGTATCTATTCTAATGTATCGCGTATAAATAATTAAAAAAAAATTCAATTATAGTTTTTAATGGATGTCTTTGATCGTTGCATGCACCTCAAGTCTAATTATAGAAAATGTCACGTTCTTTTACATTACCACAATATTTACATGTTAAAGGTACCATTTATTGGCACCTAATTAAATTGTTAGGCTATGTGTTTTCTTCCACTTTCTTTTTTTTTGCTTTAGCCAGTCGTTGATACTAAAATGTTTCTTAGTAGTAGTAATGCTTTAATGGAAAAATTAGAGGATCCATCGAATCAGCACAAGCGAAATTCATATTTAAACTCATGTGAGAAAAAATATACATATCATAATCCATAAAATCAATAATTCTTATATCTTTTGTTCAACTGTGTGATAAGCATCAATAAAAACAATTTTCTAAATATGAATTTCAGAAAATGCAATTAAACAATATTCATGGAAATACTCTTAGACTAGGAAATTATACATTATATATCAAATTTTAACAATCAGTCAATAAAAGCTAATACTTTCCTACATATTATTCTTCATTGATGCTTTCTCTTTCCTTCTCTAACCTCTTTGCTGTCTTTGATTAAGATATCTATAAAATTCCTTATTTATATAGGATTACATAAATAACAAACAGGTTCAATTTTCTTTTCTACAGACACCACTTTTAATAAAAATGTAAAAATTGTCTGGTAAAAATAATTTAAAAATCGTTTAATCGACAAAGAATACTTAAATCTAAAACTATTTTCTAAAACATTGTCAATTGAAATGATTCTACGCACTATTCCAAATTTTTTCTTTAATGACGAATGATTAACTAATGTGTAAATAATAGCTGTTGGAATATAATACTTCAAGAACTAAACTATAGCTGTTTTGTAAGTTTGGCATGATTGTGAAAGAGATTGCAACGATGTAACAAAATATTTACGATCACTTGGTATTTATACCTCAAGAAAATCCTTCAGTAAAGTGACTCGACGTTTTTCAGCAATATCCATTTGATTTTCCAAATCTCCACGATTTGTTGTTTCTGCATGTTCTATTTTCCAAGAAAGATCTTCTATTTCCGCTTCCAATTGCGCTTGTTGGTATTCAAACTTTAAATATTCATTATACATTTTATTACACATTTAGTTTTCTATCTATAAAATTATTTAGTATCTTAAAATTTTAAATAGATATTTACTAATTCTTTTCGCGGTCCCGGTTCCATATAATAAGCATAAGGATAGGTATACTGTAAAGTATAGCGGCAGCGCGTTAAAAGCGACGCAGCTGCAAATAAATGTTGCCAATCGATCCACGTTCCACTAGAGTTCATTACTTTCTTGTTTATTTGCATCTTTATAGCTTCTAAAGTTTGTTCTTCCAATTTTAACGACTTACTGTGATTTTCCCACTGAAAGTATGTTTAAAAATATTGGTAACATGCCAGTTAAATATAAATTTAATTCTTGAAGAAAATAATTTACTCTTTCATAATAATGAAGATATTTTTTTAGAGCTTCTCTTGCTTGTGCAAGAACACTCTCATGAGCAATGTTAGGATTCTCTTTATATCTTGAACATACATAATATTCGCTTCCGTGTGCTTTCCAATCTCCAAGGCACATCCAACAAAAATCATACTTACAATTATAACATTGCATGTGATTACAACCACCATTTTTTTCTATGCAAATATGGCATTTTGGACACTAAAAAATTAAAGGATATTTGTTATAAAACTACATATATTATACACAGAAATATGCGACTTAAATACTAACATCTTTGGTGTGGGCACTAATATAATTAGCTGTTTCTGAATCATCTGCACATTTTGTTAGCCATCTTTTCATAGTATTACAGTCAGTGGGTGCGTGGTAATCAATACCACATCGGAAACTGCAATAATTACACCCTTTGATTAATACTATACTAGAGTAATATAAATATTAAAAAATTTTAGTTGCATACCAAAACACAGTTCTACATGATGAACACATCACTCTTTTTGCTCTTTGCTCTTTCGAACGCATAATCATTTGACAATTGGGTCCGGGACAAAACCTTAATTGTGGATGGGATTTTACATAATCACAAAAAGCAAACTGTTGATATCTTTCTCTCATGTTAGGCTTAGTAAGTAGAGATAAAACAAAGTCTTCTGGAGCTAAGACATTACAATCCTGTGCCATGCAACTTATTCCTAGTTTAAATTAACTTAGCTGAGCTCGATTCAATGGATAATCTGATCTACTTCAATGAACTTACCTGTAGAAATACCTTGGGTTATTTGTACTTCAAAATGCATGCACCAACAGTCTTTACAAAATGAATGTCCACATGTTAGAGTAGAAAGTTTCTCAGCTGGATATATTGTAACACAAACGGAACATAATCCACCCCTTTGACCTTTTAGTGCTGATAGTGACTCCAATGGAGGTAATGATTTTATTTTTGAATTAATTAACAAACTGGAAGCATTGGTACGATACTTTGCGATGATGTCTTGTAATGCCCAATTGTGTGCGTGTAATAAAACTTTGGCTAAGGATGGTGTTATATGGAGACTATTACTTAACAACTCTACATCTTCATTTAAAAGTCTTTCCACTTCTTCAATTCTTAAACAATCATATACAGCATATTCAGGATCTCTTCGGCTTTGATCATTATCTATATCATTGTCACCTTCACCATCCCATGGGTGTACATTATAATAATCTTCATAACCTGGATCTCCGCAATCTGAGTCGGAGTAATCCATTTCAGTATCATATTCCTCAGTCGTCATCTGTCATAAATATCATATGAGTATATTATTTTATTATAAAGAAATATTTTAAATTGCATATTCTACAAGGCTTGCAGTTAATGTAAAATTTGTGCACATATAGTAGGTATATTATTCTTCTCATAACCTTATAATTTTTAGTATTTATTTATAAACATTAAAATATTAATATATGAATTGTTAATATATGAATAAATAGCGAGAACATAACAAAGAAGTAATTAAATTACTGCTTTATTAATAAAGGGAACAAAAGATACAAATTTCAACAGAAAGGGTTTTCACTAACCATACAGAAACAACAGAGTTTTACAATACATATTTTCGGATTTTGTACAAATTGTACAATTACTTAAATAGTCAATTTATTTATGTAGCATAAAATAATAATTAGACGTATTAAAGGTATGGTAGTAGGTTCATCGTTTGATTATTTCTTGTCTAAAATGTATTTTTGTGACGTTTGGTAAACATTTTGATGGGATCTCGATTATTGTATTATAATGAGGTGTTTGTTCATTTTGTTCCATTTACATAGTCCAAAAAACATACCTTTATGTTCTTATGCATCAAGAAAAATGCATTGATGCGTTTACTTTGTTAGTTAAATGAAAAAGTTATTAAAAGGCTTTATTGTAGCCGTTTATATCAATAGTTACACTGGCGCATGAGTTATGTGTACGTCCTTCCATGTCAGGCGTATGATGTGAACGATGTTGTAACAGATGATTTCATTTAATCTGAAAGAAGATAAGAATGTCAAAATCACCTGATACAAAACAGCTGAGTTTAACAAAATGCATATATGTTAATTCATGCAATATTATAAAAAATGTGAATAATTTATTTTTAGGTATATATAATATAAATGTATCTCAAAATTTGATTTATGAATGTTAATCATTTTGAGATTCATTTTTAAAGCAATGAGTATACTTCCTCATTGTACTGTGGAAATTCTAGGTAACATTTAGTATATATGCTTTTGAATGATTTATTTATATATTATATTGACATTATATTCTCTTATGATCATTATATGTATATATACATAAATGTATACACATTTTGTTCTTATTTCTTAAATATGATTTTATATTTGTACAAATTACATAAGAATATTAGAAACTTTAATATTAAATATATTGTACAAAAATTGGTATATGAGATAAGAAGTGCTATTCTGTATTTCATAATGTTGTGTTTTCAAATTATACGGAAGTCGAAATAAATACTTTTATAAAGTTACATTCTATTTCAAAAAAAGAGAGGAGAGAGGCACAAAGAAAGAAAGAATAGAATTATGTAGACTTTTTATTTCATAGAGTTAGCTATCTATATGATTCTTATAGTTGGATACCTAAGTATACATGTACATACTTTCGTATGCCATCATATGTCGTATTCATGGTTTCGTTATGATCAGCGGTCAAGTGTGTGTTTCTAACCTCTAAGCTTATTTAAAGAATTCAATTATTACGGATTATTGGAATTATGTCTGTATATCACGATGAAGTAGAAATTGAAGATTTTGAGTATGACGAGGACGAAGAAGTATATTACTACCCATGCCCTTGTGGGGATCAGTTTCAAATCTCTAAAGAAGAATTAGCTGCTGGTGTGGAAGAAGCCACATGTCCTTCGTGCTCTTTGGTTATAAAAGTAATTTACGATAAGGAGGCATTTGCAGCTAAACAAGAAGAACTTGTTAGGGATGAGGAAAAACAGATTTTGATCCAAAAGGTTTGAGTTACATTGGACGACTTTCTAAGATACTGATACTCTGCATTTTTCATACACACGTTCAAGCTGAACAAAGTTGGACACACGAACAATGGCCAAAGTATATATATATATAATTAATATTATTATGTATATACAATATATTTGTACATAATTACCAGCAGATTTGAAACAGATTTTCAAATTGCCCTTAATTCTCTATTATATTGGTTGTTATTGTTAGAAAATAGAACATGTATAATACAATTATAATGGATAATAACAGAAAAATTTCCACGTCAATCAGCATAAAACAATTAGACTCTGCCAAAGTAGAGGTATTGTCACCACCGGTCTGACAACTTGCACCCTTAAAGACAAATATCCTCTTTTGAAGTAAAAACATTTGTCCTTTGATATTAATCCTAAAGCTAATTATCTGATGGAACAAAAAGGTTAACAATGTGTTGTTTCTCATAAATAAAAGAGATACAAAGAAGTATTCAGATAAGTACCAAGATCGGGAATAAAAGTAGTTGTGAGAGAATGTCGATAGAATTGAAATCTCAGCTGTAAAATCATAAAGGTCTGAAAAAGCCTAAAAAGGAAAAGGAAACAGAAAGGAGAAGGATGATGGAGGAAAAGAACTCGACAAGGAAATGAACAAGGGAATCAATAATGTGAATAATTGTACAATTATTCTAATGATGTAGAAGGTTACCACGATGAAAACGATAATTTAGATGATGGACCTATTTATTAAGATAGTTTTTATAAGAATTGAAAATTTCTCTCTGTTTTCCATTATTGGACTAGGATACTTATAAGCTGCTAATTGAGCACTGTATGGCAATGTATATATGTATTTTTTACCGAATTGTGTATATTGATAATAAATTATTTTAGGATACTTAAATAACGGCAAAGTCTTATGCGCTCGCGCGTATTATTTCATATTCCTCAGTAATTATGTTTTTTAAGGAAATTGGTATCGAAGGTTGGTGGTGTGGTAAACGGCAGTGTATTAAAAAAAAAAGGAAATTAATTTTCCGAAACACAATTAAAAGAGTCCAGGGTCAGAGGAAGCGTCGGCGTGTTCTTTATTACGAGTATTTCAATTTCTAATATATAATATATATATTTATATATATATATATATAATATATATATAGCCATAATAATCTGCAATTATTGTAATAAATGATCCTTCTCTACGATGCAATCGGAGAGTAAAAACGCAATTTTGGACGAGAAGGGGATGCGCAAAAGTACCGTAGTGTTACGTAATGCTTAACATTTACGCTCGCCGTGATAGTTGTTCTTTTGTAACAACCCACGTTAAGTAATCATTCTCATTTCCTCTCTTTTGCTTTCGTTCGCAAACAACAAATTTTTACATAGATCATCGTCGGTCCCGGAATGTGCACATTGAGCGTGGGAAGGGAATATGAGAAAAAAAGAAGACGGTCAGTGATCGCGAAAGAAGAAGTCGGTCTCCTGAAATTTCCAGCCGCTCGTTATCGCGTTTTTGTTATTTATTAAATTACGTGAGATATTGAAATAGGAGATATTGGAATATCGTTGCCTAAATTTCGGAATCGGGATCGGATGTATAGCGATCGAATCGTTTGCGGTAACGCGACAGGAAATTGTGTTTGTATATCTAGATATCATGACTTGGCAGTAAGTCGAAGTTAAAAATTTCGCGTATGATTTGAAATTTCTTAAAATTTTTATCTTGAAATATCTTGCAACGTCTTGAAATAACGTCTCGATGAAATAACCAGATGTTACATTATAGCAAACGATTCAGATCCGATATTTCATCGACATAACGAGTGATTATGTACTTGATCGAAGAAACGCGTACATAGATTTTCGTATGACAAAATATAAACGAAGAAACACGTCATCCGCATACTTTTCTGGTATCGTCGATCACGATCGTTCAACTTTGCAATACTCGTTCGATTTCCCTTACTACTGTCTGTCCATCTGTTTTGTAAAATACGAGAAATCTTGTCGTGTCGCATTCCTTTGTTACAAATAAACCGATCAATGATTTATGTTCTTCCTAAAAAGAAAAAAAGAAAAAGAAAGAAAAGTACCAGAAGAAATCGTACGGTTCCTGATTCGAGATTATTAACGTTTTAAGAAAATCAAGAATCGACCCAATCAGTACCGGATAATCATTCATTCTATTCGTTGTAAAGCATACTCGTCGTCGTTATTTCTGCGATAATAGTTGATCAGTTACACATGATTCTCTTATTCTGACAAAACAGCCTCTTTGCTTTGCTTTATCCCCTCAGCCTTTTTCGTTTAAATACCATCGTTGTTCTAACGTCATCTTCTTTCCACCCGCATTGTTTTTTAATAATATACTATATAATGTATATAGACATATTTTATATGTGTTTCGTACAACCTATCTAAGTATGTATAAGTAGGCATAAAAACTGAGGCGAGAATACAGGCGAAACCCCAAACGGTAATCACTCACGTATTATATTATTTTGTAATTTCTTCCTACTTGTTTTGAAAGAAAATGATTTTCACGATAGTAGTATCTATCATCAGAGTTTCTACCTAGCCAATTTTGGTTGCATCGTAAAGATCTGTCTCCTAACGTATTAGGAAACTGTACTTTTACTCCGCGTACTATCGGCTTTTCTCTTCGATCTTGAATCGTTGGACACAGAAAAAATGCGCGTGTCCAGAACGTGGCCAGCACGTTCACGGGATTTGCCGTTTCTCTTAAGGCCCGTTCGTCGATGGTTTTGCAACTTGTTTTCGACAGTGATAGAATCTGAAATCTGTCCACGCGTGTACGCGAGAAGAAAGGCTTGGAACGACGAGAAGCGAAACGTTGGTTCGACAGTTTAGAAGGAGAAAACGTTTACGCGAAACAACAAATCGTTCGATCGACTAGAAAGAAAAGATTATCGTAAACATTCGATCCTCGAATTTCCAAGCCTCTTCCTAGACATAATTCCTTTATGTTTAGACACGCGTAATCATATAGAAACGAAAGAAAGTTTTATACATATAGTGAATTTCGCCTAACAGAAGGGCGTTGTTGTAGTCTTGCGAAAACGGTTCGAGCTCGATGTCCATTGATTATCCATCGACGTACACGATAAAAACAAATGTATAAAGGTTTGAAATGCTTGATTTCTCCACGGTGTTCGTTAAGTTTTCACCTCGTTCGGAAACAGGAACAATTTTCGAATACACGGCGGCCAGTTGATAGATCTGATAGGTTTGGTTTATGAAATTGCGTTTCCTCCGTGCCATGCCGCACGCGTGTCTCGCGACTTTTGCTTCCAGCAAAATATAGCAGTTTATATATATAATAGCCCTAGAAGATGGTGGGTGACGTTCTGGAAATCACAGGACAAATCAGCTTCTAAATTCGGATGGGCAGTGTAAGCTTCTGCGAGGTGCTTCTTCGACACGTTTAAAGCGGCTACGAGCCTTGTCGATCAACGTTTCCGTCTCCGTTTTTATGCGCTTACACCAAACTGTTCAATGCCTTTCTCTTTCTCCTCTTGCGCTCCCTTCTTCTTAGCTTTTCGATTTAGCAACAAAAACGAAAAAGAAATGGAAACAACATGAAATTCGTCGAATCGGTGGCGCTTTCAAAAACCTTCTAACGCACACTTCTAACAAGTGGCAACAAGTAAATATACATTATCACAATCATCGCAATTACGCAATTAGAATAATCATCGTAGTAACAGCGCAGTAATAATAATAGTTTGTACAACGCCACTGTTCCGAGTGAATCTCTTAGAAATATTCGACGAACTGTCGTAACAGCGTTATTTCAGTTTCTGCTCGTTCTAATTAAATAGTAACTCCAGTTTCAAGGCTATTGCGCGCGGAATGGAATAATTGAGCGCTTATCACAATAGATCGTGTTCACCGAAATGGCGAGCGCGTTTAAAACAGCTTCCGACACTTGACACAAGTTCGCTAAACGAAATCTGCTACCGTTCACCGTATTGTGCACAAGAGTCGCTAAATTGAACGTCGAAGCTGAGACGGATTTAATACTAAAAAGTCACACGTACATCGAACATGGATATTTGAAAAAATAATGGAACAATCGTCCTTACGATTTAGAAGATAAGAAATTCGACCCGGAATATAGATTATGGAATTTGTTTAATAATCCGCCACTGCATCGAAGGTTTCAAGAATAAATAATAAATCTCTGATCAAAGCCGCGTATTTCCTGTATCATTTTACACGCATTCCATCCAACCGTGTTCGTCTCTGTCGTGAATCAGACAGATCGGTGTAAGCAGACGTAAAGGTTACTAGTTTTTAAACGTAACCGAAGGAAAGGAAAGGGATTAATCGAGGGAAAAAAGGGGTAGACGGGATCGTAACTCTCGTAGAAAAGAAAGAAGAAAACCGTGTTTCCGGTAATATCGTACCGATAGGTCTCATACTGTTTGGAACGACAGCTTAATCAGCGATGAATTTCAATATTTTTGCTATCGTGAATAATCATGATCACTTTGATATTCTCTGTGAGAAAAACCATGGGATTAGATCGGATCGTTAAAAAATGTCGTGAAAGTAAACAATTTCGAACACGAATGATCTGTCAAATGAGAAACTTTCGAAGACGTTAGATCGATTCTTTATAGAATTACTTGGATCATTCTCCTCCTTTCGTTTCGTAGAAAGCTACCAATAATTTCGTCGAAACAAACACAAACGGAAAAGGGAAAAGAACTAAAACGATCATCATCGATTGGTTATCGTTGGGTCAACCATTCCCAAAAATGTTAGCCACGATCTTTCGTCGTTATCATGATCTTTTTTACGCTTTCGTCGAATCCCTCGTCAGTCGTTCATTCAGTAAACTTTTTACCATACGTCTTTTTTTTTCATTTTTTTGTTCATTTTTTTTGCCTTAGTAGTTTTTCTTTATTATTAGAGTATCGTTTATCATATTAATCATTATCATTATACTGCTTCACTACGGTTGGTTGACTCTTGGACGTGGATCTGGATGGAGTGTGGTGTACCGGTGTACCAAATGCGCGTGAAAGAGAGAAAAAGCTCCATCGTTCGATTCCTTTCGTATTTTTTTCTTTCTTCTCCGCATTTCTCTTTCCTCTCCTTCCATCGTCCTCGAAGTGAGAACAAGGGGCTCCTATCTCTCCCCGTAATCACGAAATATGCCTTATCCTGACAGTTCTTGTTTCGGTGTCATCCGTTCGGTTTCACCGTCGACTGTTACTTTCTCGAATTGTATTGTTGCTCGTATTTGTTGTTTCTTGCGCCTGCTCGCTTTCTTCCTCCAAGACAGGAGCACGACCCTCGTTATCGAGCCCCGAGCTTGTCAAATTTTTCTCCTCTTTCCTTCTTCGTCTTCGACTAGCTCGAAAGAGAAACGTACGAATGAATTTGTCATATAAGAAATCAGACGGAATGCAGCGTGCAACGGGAGAATAGCGTTCACCGCTTCTTCCTTCGTCCCGTTTCTCCTTCGGTTTAACAACTTGTTCCGTAACGATTTCGTAGCTCCGTAATTTCGATGCATTTTCGACTAGCACCAAGTTTCAAATCGTAAATCGAAGCGACGCGTGAAAGCGTGATTTTTGCGCGAGATCCGAAGGAATTGGCCCTTCGTTTCACCTCGATTCTCGTCGGTTCCCGACGATTTCGACTAATTCGCAAGTACGAATTCTCCTACTCGTCTTTCTTTGTTGTCCTCGGTTGTTCCTTCGATATCTAAATCGTGAACCTCGAGAATTCCTGTCATGTGTGAAAAAAACACTACGCCTCACTACAGTAATTCGTTTCGCTTGCTGGTGGTAGTTTCTATTTGTCAGGCTTCCGGGAAGTTCTTCGTCGTACGATGCTCGATCGTCCTTCAAGAAATTTTGTTGGGCAACATTAGCGTATATATGTATATAGAAAGAGAAAGAGAGAGAGAGAGAGAGAGAGAGAGAGAGAGAGGCTAATGATCTTCCTTCAACTAAAAACATGACAGAAACAAGAACAGAACGGATAATTTTTATAAATTTGTATGAACTTGCAAAGTCGAGGAATGTTAACATTGTGCAGCAGTAATTCTTGATTCTGTAAATTTCTTTTAGAACGATCGAGAATTCCACGCGGAAATGGAACGAGTTTCCATTTCCTGGATCGGCAAACGCTCGAAGAAAATGATTTCGTGTTTAAAAGAAACTAACCTTTCCACGGTGCCATCGATAATTCAACGGATCTATCGGACGATTAATTTTCTTGCTAAAAATCTTTCTTTCTAAATACATATAGAGCCAGTGATTGAGGAGATGAGAGGTCGAACGATCGACGGGAAAGATCCGAGGAATTTTGTCGGTACCGTGATCGTATGATCCGCGAGTGCGATACCCATTAACTGTATACATTCATATTCGTGTATACGTACGTAATTGTTTTCTGTATATAGACTTATATAAAACGCACGAAGCGGCCGAAGGCTATTATATCCTTCCTTTCTTATTTATAGCGACAAGCCGTATTTTATTTCCTCGCGATTCGATTCGCCACGATATTATCTTATTTTCACTTTTATTCTTCGTTCTTTTGTTCTCTTCATCAATGGAAAAAGAATTCGGGCTTAACTACGGCAGATCTCTCGAGATCACTTGAAATATCCTAGAAACTTACTGACTCGCGTGTGTTCGTCTAACTGCGTGTCTTTCTATGTGTCCTTTCGTGTAGTATCGTGTGACATTTCGGTGTATCTATGGGTAACCGAGTATCCGCGTGATCTGTGTGTAGATTGGAAATTCGTTCTTTCGATTCTTCGATCGTCTCAAAGTCAAGATCGATTTTTGCTTGAATGACTATGATCGCTGTAACTTAACAAATCTTTGCCCGTGTACGCGCGTGTATCGTGTAGATGTGTACATGTATATTCATCGAACGCGTGTCTCCCAACTATTCCTCGAGTTTCAACGAGACTGACGCGTTGCCTGCACGCACCGTCTTCGTTCTCGATCGTCTTACGGAGCAGGTGTTCGTCAATTCTTCTTCGCTACGAGACGTTTCTCCTTCGAGGTACTTTATCGATCGCATTCAAGTACTCGCCTCTAAGCCTGTTTCTCTCCTAAAAAAAATCCTCTCTAATCGTCACGACTCTTCTTCTCGTTCCGGAGACGTCGAACATAAAGAAAGCATCTAGATCTCTCGAGGCTTTTCAGGACGAACGAAGAACGTTCAACACGTGATGAGTAAGACGGAAAGGAACCTACGAAATATCTCCTTCCCGCTGAAAAACAACAGGAACGAGCAGACGAACCACGAAAGGAGCTTTCACAGGAACCTCGTCGAATTATTTCATCTCTTACTCTTCGTTTTCATTCTCTACCTTCGTTTTCCTTCGTTTCTGCTTGCTCCCCCGCTTTCGAGGACGTTAACTACTACGTTTATTTATCAGCTTCCTTCGAACGCTCTAATTTTCCGAGCTGCTGCCCTTTCCCCAGAATTTATCGAAGCGATTTCGCGCCTTTTCCAGCACCTCGCTCGCTGCAGAACGTTGTGCGGAGCCTGGTACCACCGTTGGTGCTTCCAGTACGTGATAACCACCGCCGCTACTACTTCCTAACCCACCCATGCTACCTCCACCGCCACCACCGCCCTCGGTGGTACCACCCTGAGGCGATTCAGCTTCTAGGATACGGTAACCTTGTTGAGGAACCGTAGACGATAACGGTGTCGTCATGGTTGTTGTCGTCGCAGGTTGACCAGCTTCTTTCTTTCTATCGTATTCGAAACTCGGATCCTCTAGGCATCTTAAACTCGTCCCAGACACAGGTTTTATCGATGGTTCCGGTCTCTGTTGTTCCTTGGGTTCTTCCTCGGTACCGTCTGTTTCCTACAACGAGCATACGATTCTTATTTTCTCTAGAAATTCCTTCCGTTTCGGATCGAGATAGAGATAAACAAACTCTCACTTTTCTTGCGATATCATCGACAATGTTTCGATTAAAAACAGAGATCCTTACATTTTCATCGAGTGCGGTGGTGCCGCCAGCCTGAACGTTCGAAGGCAATGGACTATCCCTTTCGGAATCCATGTCCTTGTGCCCGTTCAAGCCGCTAAAGCTACCGATAGAAACGCTTTCGCTTTCTGGTGACTTATATCCGGAATGCTGAGAATGCTGCGATTTGTGCTGTGCCGCCAATTCAGGTGGTGCAGATTGCGGGGCCGACGGAACCGACGAAGGTGCCCAGCTCTTCGCTTCGCTATGCGGACGCGTCAAAGGTTCTTAAAAATAAACGGATTAAAGAGATCATGAGAACCGGTCGTTTGTCTCTTCCGTAACCCAGCCTGTCCGAGACATCACGTACACGTTTCGATATATCGAGTTCCATCGTTTAGAGTCGTTGACAAAACGATTCCAAACTGGCTTCATCGATGTCTATCGGAATACTTTCTCAATTTTTCTATTCTATTAGAAGAACGAAAACGCTCGAAAAAATATATGTAAATATTAGCTACCTTCTCTGACGTTTTGAGTGACAGTGAATGTTTTGCCGGTGTCCAATGGCACCGTCCAGTTGACCGGTTCCGGGGAGCGCATGATCATCTGCTCCGGAGACTTTACCCTTGTCGGTTCTGGCGGGCTTTTCACTACCGGCTCGTCGTCGATCCACGGGCTTGCGGTGGTGGCCGAAACGGGCGGCTGCGACTGCGTCTGTGACGGCGGTGTCGACGCGACGCTCGAATCTCCTCCGGTCACGTCCCCGTTCACTTGCGGTTCTGCCGTCACTGAAACGTTTTATCCACGCTTTTAACGATTTGATATATGCTCGTCGATCCGTTTCGTTGCCCGAGTTCGGGCGGAACTGCACTCGATGCTTCGAATTGTTACGAGGTTTCCTTTTTTTCTCTACTCGAATCTCTAACGAAGATCGGAACGTCGAATACCACGTGTGACGCTAAAAGGAGAGGACTCTTATCTCGTCCTTCGTCGAAGGATTTATATCAGTGGCATCGGCGAAAAGGAAGGCAACAAAATAGCGTTGGTCGAGTCATCGAGCGCTGATATCGTAAATCGGTTGTAATTCGTGGCTAGACGAGAGGTCTACACAATGGGCACAGAGCATCCGAATAAAAAGTACACTAGCGTACTCAGAATGCAGGAAGAGACATGTATACACAAATACATAGATCATAGATAGATAAGTAAATACATAGATTTAGTGTGTCGGCATAGTATGTGTGTAAATGTGCGGCTATGTTGCACGGCCACGCAACAGGTTGACAAAGGGCTCTAACATACAGGCTATTGTTCTTTCTCTACCGCAGAAACATTTACTCGATTGCACGTCGACCGACCGCTGGTGAAACATCGCGGATAATCTGCTTCCCTCTTTTCTCTGCTTCCTCTCGTAGGCCCTTGATCTGACGAAACGCGGCACCCTGTGAGTTATACACGACCAGAGAAAGAAAGGCAGAAAAAAGAAAAGGAAAAAAGAGAGTACAAGAAGGAAAGAACGAAAGAGTCGCGCGTTGCTTGATACGCATATCACGAGCCAAGCAGAATCACGTTGCGCCTGTGTTTGTCTCTCTATGCGTGAAAAAGAACGTTTTCGTGTTTTCTGGCCGGAATGATCGTTCGTCGGTGTTGGAAGCACACTTACGTTTAACTGCCACCTGATTCGTTCTTCTTAACTCCCGTACATGTTTTTTTTCCCTCTCGTTCCTTTTGCTCGAGTGTCTGCGGAGTGTGACGACTCGAATCGTGGTTCGGTGCAGGTGTTGGTGCGAAAAGCTGATCTAACAAACGGTCGACAGCTCCGACTACGCACAAAGGCACGTCTGCGAGACGGATTCAGCGTGGTGGAAAGAACAAACCACAGTTGGATACGAAGCTACCTCGAATCCCTTGATTTACCGCGGCAAGACGCGGACAGAGCGATAGAGAGATGCAGCAGCGGAGTGGATTTTTAAAAACACGGTTGCCGAGAGGCGCGTGTGCCGGGTGAAAACGCGCGGTATGTAATCTGTACGATGAAAGCGTGACGAGAAAGGAGGAACGCACAGAGAATCGGCCGCTCTATTTCGCGCCGGAAGTATAAGTTGTGCGAAGGATATTCCCCGGTTGTTGTACCGGTGGAACGGTAAAGAGCGCATAAAGAAAATAAGAGAAACGTGAAAAGAAAGACGGACAGACGAGATGAGATAACAGAGGAAGAGTAGGGATTCGAGTAGCGATTATATACGAAGACGAGAATAGGAAGTCGAGAATAAAGAAAGATCGGAAAAGCGTACGGATAACCGGTGGAGGAGAGAAAGACAGAGAAAAGATGTAGTTATATATAAGAACAGCACAAAGACAACAACAGCGATAACGGTAATGGTAACAACGACAACGACAACGATAATGACAGCAACGAAGACACGGAAAGCGTTGTTTAGTTGTGTTCGAGCGAACAAAATTATGTAGGCAACGGAGAAGAACACAGGCCTTTTTTTTTTTTTTTTGGCAGAGAGCATGCTACTTACTAGGTTGGACGGCAGTAGCGGCTTGGTTTGACGCGTATCGACTATCGGAGGATGATTTGGATGGATCGGCGACGGCGGCTT